GCCTCGCGTTTAACGGTTGATGAGCATTAGTCCCGCATGAAGTTCCACTTTCTCTGGTATCCGCGAAACAGATTTTTCTGGCGAAGCGTTTAGAAATCGAAAAATATTGAGGCGGACTTTCATTTTCCACCTAATGCTGCAACCACAAATCAATCTTCTATCCGTCAACTTTCAAGAACATAGATTGTTCGAGTAAAAGCATGATGGAAGCTGTAATTTTTCACGTCACATACCCAGATACAGGGATAAAGTGAAAAGTTGCAAGTCAAGCTTTTTCATACTTATTTTTTTGTTGTTGCGTGAGGACTTATTTTCGTTTCAATAGCACCTCGTCACTTCCGTAGTAAACTATATCTATGTTTAGCTGGAAAACGCTAACTAACAATAAGAGGGTGCTGTAGGAAGGTAAAAATTATGTCATTGATTCTTCCGAAATTTTCGCGAGTTATTTGAAAAGCGCTTGTTCACAGGAGACGGAACCTGTGCCTTAGGGAAAACAACTTTTCCTAAGCGATATTGAAAAATCCAGGTTTAAATTTACAACGAAACGATTTTGGGCGAGTTGCGAGCAGTTTGGTTCATTTTTATACTTCAACATTTTTTCTCCGAAACACACCTATGAAACCTCAAATTCCGTACAACTCTAATTTTATTATACCTCTAGAAAGAGTTTTCTTACAAAAATGTTTGATAATAATTTCCTTCAGCAATGATACAAATAATTTTGACTTTTTCGGCACTTCTCACTTCCTAGGGATAACCAGAAATTCTAAAATATGCTTGAGGCCAACAATTTTTGACACTTTTTTAAACGAGTTCTCTTCAATTACAATTTCGTGCATATCGATGAAGAAAAACCTCCATTGAGATAGTTTTTCCCCGGATCAATCATCATTTATACTCGTGATACGCAAAGAATAATATCTTCGCTCAAGATTGCAAGTAGATTTTTACAGCTCAACTTCGAATTTCCACTTCGAGACCAAAAAATAGATTGCATTTCATTTACTTAATCGAACGAGACAGTGGGGAAAAGAAAATCAAAATGACATAGGGGCTGATTATTGAAATCGATAGACAAAACTATAGAGAAAGAAGACATAGGGAGTTTGGAGCGATCCTACTGGTTGAGATGGGTGGTTCCTTTAGACTAAGGGAGAAAATGATGAACTAACTGAAGGGTCTCGCTTGGGTTACCGTTGTTAGCCTACTACCTCCTTCGTCCATCGCAACCACCAGCTTCCATCGGTATAATCCTTCGATATCCCTTATGTCTTCCTTGTCTACAGTTTTGTCTATTAATTTCAATAATCGGCCCACAGGGTTACAAATCTGGATATTAAAACGGCGACGCTGATTTCCTAAAATGCGGAATACGTTTCCGAAACAACTGCATATGATTCTTTCATCTAGAACGAAAAAAATATATAAATAAGTGCATTTTCTGCCGATTAGTTAGGTTATATCACGTTGAGGGAAGGATTATTATTTTTACAGTCCACCCTGAAAGTAATTGATAGCGTAGTGTAGCCTTGAGAGAGTCTACGAAATGTCGAACGGGTCAAAGTGTCTGCAAATTGGCTAGCTGCTAAGGCATACAAATATTTGGGGCTTCAAATGAACGCAAACATTAATATTAATATAAACACGTCACTATTGATTGTGAAAAAGAAAATCGGGGACATCCGCGGCAAAAAGGCTTATGAGGCCTGCAACGCTGCTAAGATTGTGCAACTCAGCTCTTCATAAGTCCATATTCTACTCGGTTATGTATCTAAAGGTGCATGTTTCCTATTAATTTTCCCAGAATAAGCGCAGACTTTTTCTTTATTTTCCAATGAAAATAATTCGGCAGTAAAATAATTCCATTTTACTGCAAATAGCGTAAATAAATGCACGATCTTAGCCGCACTCCACTGAAAAAAAATCTCGGTGTATTTACTAAGAAAAGGGTAAAATTACCAAGAATGCAGGGTTCTATTTGATCCCAGTTTTTTCTTGGTACAATTACCATTTATGGAATTGGTAATTTTACCGAGAAATCTCGGTAAAATTATTGAGCTTTCTCGGTAATTTTACTGGACCTCGGTAAAAACGCCAATATTTTTTATCGACTGTGGTAGGATTACCGAGATAAAATGGCAAAGTTACCAGGGATTGATTACCAATAAAAATGGTATTCATACCTTAAAAAAACAGTAAAAATACCGATTTTTAGGCAAGCTTCCTGGTATGTCTTGGTAAAATTACCAATAATTGGTAAAAAAGTGAGATGGTAAAGGTACCAACGGACCTTGGTAAAAACGCCGAGAATTCTTTTTCAGTGTGTAAGCCTTCAGGACCCTCTACAGAAGATGTCCTAGAGTGATGATGACGGAAATGACACTATTAGATATGTGTACCTGTGATCAACAATCGGTTAAAAGTGACGAAACTTCAGAGATTTTACTGGGAATTGGAAGAAGAGGACTTGAAACCTCTTGAGAAGATTAAAAAATAAGGGATGAAAAGGCAGGAAAAAATCACAACTACGAATCCACGCAAAGGAGTGAATCACAACACTAAACTGAGATAGCGGACGAAAGCCAAGAGCCCGCGGGCAAGAGTAAACTGAAAGCGAGACGGGATCATGAGCGCATGGACCAGTAAACCGATTTTGAACTACACACCGTTGCCAAAGTTAGCACTCGTATTTGAGTTTTGTACTGGGAGTAATGACCGAAGCTGGAAACGAAAATAAAAACGTTGAAGTAATTCGACAAGTTAAAGGCGAAGAAGACTGTGGATGCGTCGAGCCACTTATTGAGCAAAAAAATTCCTGGATGGTAAACTTTTTCGATACCCGATACCAGAAACAACATTCATCGCGAGTATTAATTTTCTTGCGACCAAAAATATATCAAATTCCTGAAAATAATGTATGAATCATCCATTCATACCTGAATCTCAACTTCGCCGGGTACAATAAAGATAATGTAGAAATGCTGAAATGTTAGTTTCACTTAGAGCGAAGGAAAGAAAAAAGAAAACCGGGTCCATTTCACCGAGGGGCGCAAATCAGCTGTTTTTCCCCAAAAATTGATTTGGTGGACCCTCAACTAAAACTTGGCGCATCCTATAGATCGACGCGACGTATGTTTGATAAGTTAAATCGAACGGATGATTTTCTCGTCCGGATATTTAGCTTTGATTCAGGTTTTACGAAAGAGGTTTTTCGGGAACGAATAGCTAAAGAGTGCTGCGAGATGTAATTGATCGGTTTCTTACAAATTTTTTCAAGTGAAACCCGTATTTTTTCATCATTTGTTCGATATCTCAGTATCTGCTTACTCTTGCTATGGATCCCCCTTAAAATGCGCCAAAAAATTTGCTTTGACGCCTAAAAAGACGTGATGCTTAGTCGTAATTTCCGTAGTCTGTCGCTGACTTTTCCTCCAACATTAACAAAAATTGATGTTTTTATAGTGCATGATGAATCTATAATTATCTATAAAATTGTAAAAATTGTAAAAACAACATACCAAGATACAATCGTTGCAAGAGATCTCAACAACAATTGCATCTTGGTAAGTTATTTTTATAATTTTATAGAAAAACATTCTACTGCCTCTTAAAATTTGTGGGTAACATTAAGCCGTACATAGTGCCGGAAAAGTAGTGGCTGTAGTATTTCATCCCATACGGTAAAAGCGTAAAGTTACTCAAGAGGCGAAAAGGAAATATATGACAACGAGGGGGCAGAAGCAGGTGATGTGACTCGGAAAATGAAGGTCGGAACTTCCGGCGTCCGGCCCGCGGGTTGCGGCACAGACAGGAACTAGAAAATGGACGGTTCTGCTTTGAGTATCACCACCTCTGCTCTGTGTTCATCCGAATGTTAACAAGGCATCTAGCTTATTACAAAATCGAAAGCTTTCACACTCCGTTACTCCACCGCTTGGGTCAATTATGTTCAGCACCGGTCGACAAGCCAATTACACGAACAAATGGTGATTCTGTAATCGGGGGATTATTTTCGATACGCTCGAGGGCGGGAGCCCTAAGACCGAATTTCGTCGGGAGAGCCACGTCTACTAGAATACATCTGAGAGGTGGCTGGACCCAATAGGTTAAAAAGCACAAGGGCAAATAATTAAATAAAATCAAAAAGCACTTTTCAAATCTGATTTGCGTTCTTAATCATTCCTTTTGATTTACAGTGCTCCCTCTCCGTATATTGACTTCTCCGTAATGGAGATCTCCACATGACGAATAAATCCAGCTGCATGCCTCTTCAGATTCGCTGAAGAGTGAGTACTGCAAGTCATTTGCATGAAGTTCCCTGTAGCATAAGTAGCTGTCCAATGTGTCTGTTTCAAACTTCAGCCAGAGCAAGAAGAAGGAGTTATTTCTTGTAGAAAAAGGCTCGAAATCACAATGAGCGCATCGAGAAAGTCTGAAATATATTCTTAACTATAAATCTGCGTAGGAAACAGGCGTTTTTTTAAGGTTCCTGCTTCAAAAACGATACTACGGCACAGGTGAACAATTTGGAAGAGAAGTCGTTCCATCCAACCCCTGCGCACTAGAATGCTACGGAATACTCAACATGACCGACGCCAACCCGGAAAACACACGTGACAATCAACCGGCGTGTTTATATTTACATTTTCCTTGCGTTGACATAGACCATGGTTCTCACGATTTGTGCTCAAACGCGTCAGCCATATGTTGAACATTGTGTGGCACCCTAGTACGCAAGGATCGACTCCTCCCCCGAAATGTTAACCAGATGTTAATGTTAACCATTTTTGAAGCGGAAAGTTTAAAAAACGCATATTTCTTGAGAAGTTAGGAGTATATTTCAGACTTTCCCGATGCGCTAATCCTAATTTTTGAGCCACTTTCTACGCATAAGAACCAACTGTTCTTTTTGCTCGGGCTGAGGTTTGCAACAGGGACCATTGCCAAGTTTGTTAATAACATATAAATACAATTTTTTTCCAGGAGGGAATCGAAGAGGAGGGTGGAAAGATGACAGATGAAGAATAGGGGCTCGAGGGGAGGTAGGAGTGGGAGTGGCGCACTGCTGGTGGCCTGCGCCTGCGTAGCATCAGCCTGGCTCATCTTCAACGTAAGCCTTGCGCAAGCCGGTTACGCCTGCCTCAGTAATCCCTGCATTTACGGAATCTGCATGGATCACCTCAACAGGTATCATTAATGCCTCAGAAAATATATGAAATTTAAAATGATTGCAGCTCAGTCGCACGTGTAGAAGGATTTTTCTTTTGCCACCAACTTGGGATCAAAGCAGGACCTACGAAACACTGATTTTTCACATTGCTGATCAGTGATAATTACGTGAGCGGTGAATTTAAATTCAATAAATGCTTCATCACTTCGATGAGCAATTTCCTAAACATGACTCATTTGAAGAAACCTTTGCCACCGCCTGTTTCTATATTATCTGATCAAAATGTGGAGAGCAAATTACAAAGATATTATCACAATTTCTGCCAGTTCTCACGAACTCCAAAGGGATAGATGGGTGAACTAAAAAGATGTCGCAGGCAACTAGCAATCGTCGGCAAATTACAATCTACTTGAGTTGAATAAAAAAAAAGAGTAAATATCCAGAAGTAAAGAAACGAGATAGAAAATACGATTATTATTCTTGGAATTCAAACATGCGTTTTTTATTTTCCTTGAATGCGCATGGTACTAGCTATCTGTCGTGAAATCAGTAACCTTAGTTGGATAAGGCTCAGATAGGCAACTAAACTAACTGCCTCGCAAAGCGGAAAGTATCTCCCAGTTTGAAGGCGCTCTAAGCCGAGGTCATGTTATTGAAGTTTTTCTTCTTCTTTTTACCTATGTCACTGCCAATTACTTCAATTTGACAGTTAACGCACATGCTACGCGATTTGCCGGTGATTGCTGATTATCTAATTGTAAGACATTCACATGAATGAAAGGGTTTAAGTTATTATAAATATGTACCATAACCTTTGAAAAGAGAACATAGCCATATAATTCGGCGGAGAATACAGAGCTTACTGACTCTGTACAAATACGATAAAAGATGAGCGAGAAAATCTACAAAAAACTATTTTCTTAGGATATCTTTTTGTTTCATGATGTCTCCAGTACGTTCACCTGTTACTGTATTGACGGCTACACGGGGATTCACTGTCAAACCAACTGGGACGAATGTTGGTCCTCCCCTTGCCTCAATGGTGCCACATGTTTAGACGGAATAGCCTCCTACAACTGCACATGCGCGGATGGATTCGCCGGTATTTAGATGCTCTCTGTTTTGTTTTTTCTTAAATAATTATTCTGGACTCAGAGAGGTACCTGTCCGTTAAGTCGGTACCACCTTACAGAAAAAACGGGAAAAGGTGTTTTATCAGTGATCACTGGAGAGAAGATAAAACATAGTGACACCTCTTTTTCAAACCTAACTGTGGGTCAGAATGAAATGCAGTTAAAGAAAGTTCGTGTTGAAACAATCGGGTCTATCGTGCAAATTGTTGCGTGATTAAGTATAAACGTATTCAGAGCGGATAGAACAAAGAGGAAAACACAAGTTTTTCAATATAGTGGGGCTGTTGTAAACTTTTGCTGGAGCGGAAAAAAAGTGTTGCTTCTTGTAAGGGAAGATTAAAAACGTGATACTTGTATTGGGAAAGAACATATCTTAAGTTGTTTTTTGTTTCTCTGTGATTTTCAATCGTAAATGCCGATTAGAAATTCCATGACTAACAGGATAGATCTATTGGATGTCACTTATTTTTGCTGCATTCGTTAATAGGTGACAACTGCGCCGAGAACGTAGATGAGTGTAGCTCAAATCCATGTCAAAACAATGGAACATGCATAGACAGAACTAATGGATATTCCTGCAATTGTCACCCTGGATACTCCGGTACGTAAATAAGACTTATTCGATGCAACGTGATGATAGATATACGTGCAAACTGTCTTCAAAAGGACATTTTTCAGATATGTAGTGGTGCTTAAAAAGCTTGGTAGCAGAAAATTCAGGAGGCTGCACTGCACCTGAGGATTGGCCCAACAAGGCCGAAACGCGTCTACTGGTCTACAGTTGGACTGCATTTTGCAATTTGGAACTATAAGTTCTGGCTCCTCTGGAAAAACACTTATGTGCACAGGGAAACTAATGGCACATACGCTGTTTTTAAACCGGGCTAGAATTTATAGTTCCAAATTGCAAAATGCAGTCCAGTTGTCTTCCTGAAAAGACGTAACTATTGTCGCACCAAACAGCTTATCTCTTTGAGGAAAAACTGTGCCTATATGAGATTTTTCCCTTTATAATGATTTTTTGAGCTTTATGCTGAATTTGTAACACACGTTGGCAAAAAAAAAACTCCAACATACTGACTTAAAAAGTCCTCAGTTTTCAGCGAACTTTATCCGAAAAGTGCCGATACTGAGACACATTACATGAATAATAAAGTGTCTACACCTTAGATTATCAGTCCAAAATCCGCTGATCCAAAGAAAAAAGAAGCGTGCGCAAAAAGTTCCAAAATGAAAAAGGAACTTGGGATGGAAGGAGACAATTTGCTTTGGCTCAACTCCATAAGAATTATCCAGACTTTTTTCTTAGCTAAAATCTACGCAATAACTTGACACATTCCGTAACGATACACTCTTATGAATGAGTACAAATCTAAAAAAATTAGCATTTTATCCAGAAAAATAGGGAATATCTATGAAAGCGGCGAATGAAAAGATAAGGTTCTAAAATAAAATGACGAACCCTATAGTGAAAAAATCTTTGAATTTGTTGTTGAAAAAATCTTTTCACGCTAAAAATTCTTTCTTTGCAGGAGTTCACTGTGAGTCCGACTTAGCAGTTTGTAATGCAACAAATGAAAAACTGTGTCTGAATGGAGGTGCCTGCATAGAAGGACCCGGCTTAGCTTACGCCTGTGCTTGCTTACCAGGTAAATGCTTCGCAGTTCCATGCTCAAGCCCTCTTGGTAGCAGTCGACTGCTAAAGTCAACGTTACCTTCGAATTCAATTAAAAATCGAGTAAAGAATATTCTAAACTCAGGGGATCCACATCCACATGACAGGAACTTTAAAGATGGGATCAGGAAGCCTGGCCCACCAGAAATCTATTGACCCCCCTAATATCCGAAATACGGGGGCTTGCTGTCTAAGTTCTAACCCCCCGGAAAGACTTTGGTCTAACACAAAATACGGTAAACATATTGAAAAATTAAACAGTTTGAATTCAAAATAATGAACGTGTGAATTAAAAGACATTTGCCAAATTAGCATTAATTAGGACCAGTCAATTCAAACTTTTCGCTGGCAAAAAAAAAAATCAATGTAAATCCATTTGGCCACCGAAGACGAAACTTTATGATCGGGAAACCTCTCTAGTCAGAGTTTAGAAAAATTATCTTTTTTTTCCAAATTTTGAAAATTTTGAAAACATATATCAGAACGTTCAGGTTCCAACTTCATCTAACGTGGTAGTCCATCAAATGTAAAGGGTTGAGAGGAGTTCATTCTCATAGGTATTCCATGGGTATGTTGTATTGCTTCTTCCCCATTTTATTAACAACTTTGCCTTTGGCGCGTTCAAAGAATTGATTTGAAAATTACCGACCGTTGATCTTCTGTCCCGGAAAAGAAGTTAATAGCCATTTTGTTTTGATTGATGCTGTTCGAAGGTTGGACGGGCAGTCTATGCAATATTTCAATCAATGAATGCGATTCATCACCCTGTCAAAACGGAGCTGTTTGCATCGATCTACATGCCGCGTACGCTTGTGCATGTCCATTTGGTAGGTTATATTTTACGTACTTGAAAAGAGGGTAAAAAAAAACCACCTCAGATTTAAGAGTCACTTAAAGTCTACCAGCATAAAATTCTATATTTTAAAACATGATGGAGTAAGTTGTTGAATTATATCGTAGCACCATTGCCACGTAATTTTATGGAGGCGTTATCTAACGTGCTTATACTGAATTTTTGAACTCCCTGGTTCGGGAATAAAACGTACCAAAAGCGTAAACCTTGACAAATCCAAGATCGCAGGTTCGATTCATCATAAGTGTTCCTCAATTTATTTTCTAAAATGTTCCAATGACTAAAAATTAATTTGGCTCTAAGTCTCTAACTCACTAAGAGCTAGGGTTTTTTTTATAGTGATGATTTATTTCGCTCTAAATCTCACGATAGGAAATAACGACAGATGATGGTTAATGGGTATGAAAGTAAATATTTTTGGGCCTGAATTATTCACCTAACTTTTTATGATGCAGGTTTCACTGGTCAGAACTGCGACGTTGCCCTAGAAGAATGCGGCGAAAACACTTGCGAGAACGATGCTCTGTGTTTGGAGGAAGATGGCCGGAGTGTTTGTTACTGTGTACCTGACTTCCACGGTGATAGATGCCAATATAAATACGATGAATGTCTCTTAGGACCAGGGTAAGAATAGCCGCGTAAAATAATACTTGTTCGTATTTTCAAAAAATACTAGCCTGACGCAGAGATCCCTCGGGAGAGTCTCAAGAAAACCACGACTATCATGATCCACACAGAGCCAGTAGACACTCCAGTTTTTGTACGGTTTTGTCTTTTTAATTAAAACAGAGCTAGACTGGGGAATCCAAAATGAAAAGTTGTGGTAAAAGTTACCATATGGGCTGGAGTTTTCAAAGAGTGGTCCACAAGCCCCTAGCAAAACGGAAATGAAGACGACTATCAAAAAACAATGACGAGTAAAGTTTTCAGAGATATTAACTCTAATTACAATTTGTTGGAAAACTGTTTTACTGTCAGTTTTTACCCATTTTGGAACGAATTAAAACGGTTTCATAAGAATAGAGAAAAAAAGGGATGGCTACACTAGACTTTTTGGCTGTATGCGATCCCCCAGAAATCTCATAACCAGTCCCGGAATTTTATCCCTGCATGTAGCAGACCTACTAGAAGCATGGCGAACAGCATACAAAAAGTCTACTACTTGGTCCTGGATTTCCTAGGAACTTATACAGCTAGACAGTCTGGTGGCTAATACCATCTGTTACTTTTCCCGTGTAATGCCTGAAGAAATGCATCAGAAAGACTTATCAATTCATGTGCCGAAAGGATCTGTAGCTTTCAGCACTATAGGAAAAAAAAGTCATCATTCCTTAGATATCCGGGCACCCTGATGAAATTAGGGAATTTTTTTGATGTTGCTAATGAATCAACACGAGAGGGGTGTGTATAGGTGGGTAAAGCCCGTGTCCCACGACCAAATAAACTCATCAAATGCAAGATGGTGGATAGTTTTTGTGCAAGTTCGCTATCAAAAGTTGGCGGACCGTCAAATATTGATGAACCAGCCATCTTGCATTTGATGAATATTTGATGCGTTCAATTGGTCGTGGGACATGGGCTTAACGGTGACACAACAGTTAACTTTTCCTTCCAAGATTCCCAATCTGTTTTAATTTCCGCACATGAAATTTTATCCAATTACTTCAGGTGCCTTAATGGTGGGACCTGCATCGACGGCGTGGACAATTACACTTGCACATGCCCGCCAAATCTAACTGGGTCTCTATGCGATTGCCTCATCACTCAAGACGAATCCGACTGCACCTATCGAGTGACTACGTCGATGTTCACCCCAGGATCCACATCTTTCTCTCCGACTGACGTCACAGACTTAGATATGTCCTCCATCTACGACACCAGCACCAAAATGTTGACCACAGCGCATGGGACGACCGACGGTTTCGGCTCAAGCACTCTGCTCTATCAGACTGACTACGTGAGCCCAAACTACACTTTCGCACAAGATTATACCTTGGAAACAGACGAAACAAGCTATTTCGATCATTCATTGGCGACTGACCGCGTTGGCTGGGACTCGACGCAGTTCTTGGAGGAGGATTTTGGGCCTACAACGGAGACAGGTAAGGAAGTCTCACTGGAAAAAAAAAACACATTGAATCTAGAGTCCAGACTCTTATAAACATCGACAAGAAAAAATACTCTTGATTCAATCGGATTTTTGCTTAAATCAAGATCCAAGCCTCTTAATTTGAGCGGATTTCCTTTTGATTTAAGCCAAAATCTGATTGAATCAAGAGTATTTGTTCTCGTCAATGTTTTCAAGAGTCTGGACTCTTGTGGATCTCTTGGACTCTTGGATCCAATGTGTTTTTTTTTCCAGTGCTGCTTTCATTGCTATACAGGCATTTTCAACAAGTAGACGACTTTACAAACTATGTACCAATACACAACACACAAAAGAAAGGAAAAAGAAGTTCGGTTATACAAACATGAGCGCGGTATTCTCTATGTCGCGCGTCGGGCCATCTGGCCAAAGCTCATTCTATTGTGATTGAGTTATGAAGTTCAGAAATAGGAACCGAAAGTTCGATTCGACAAAGTGAATCGTTCTGACGGTGTGAAATTCAGAGTTTTGTTCGTATAACTGGATTACTGTTTTCGTAGTATGGCCAAATTGTTAAGTATAAAAGAACTCTGAAATTTTCTTTTTAGATCTGGGTTATTATGGGCCTTGTTGACAGCAGAATTCATTGTGATGGCAACACTGTAAAAATTGAGTGTTTTATGTGCATTAAGAAGAATTAATTTAAAAACAGTGCAAACAAGATCATGCTCTTGAAAACATCTTGATTTTTCTTCTGTGAATATTCTAGGTGAATTAAAAGAGCGATAAAGTTGGCATGTTCCTCTTCGGAAAAATAATATGGGAGCGGAATTTTGATACACCGCGATGAAAATAGGTGCATGATTTTGCACTTCAGCTATCGATGTAATGATGATAATCGTCGCTACGTCAAAATATAATGAGACGAAAAACGTGCGACACTGGAAAAAAAAACACATTGGATCTAGCGTCCAGACTCTCGAAAACATTGACAAGAAAAAATACTCTTGATTCAATCGGATTTTTGCTTGAATCAAAACGAAATCCGCTAAAAATAAGAGGCTTGGTTCTTGATTTAAGCAAAAATCCGATTGAATCAAGATTATTTTTTCTTGTCGATGTTTTTAAGAGTCTGGACTCTAGATCCGATGTGTTTTTTTTCCAGTGGATGTTACACTGTAAAAAACACGTTTTCCGACTAACAGCATTGATTCACTCACTTCACAAAACTTTTCCCGATTTGCTTTCAGGAGACACAACCTACTCAATCCCCGACTTCAAGTTCTCCTACGAAACCACGACCGATTTCTGGTCGGAGGATACCACGTTGACTGACGGCCCGACGACGCAGCAGCCCTTCAGCGAGTTCAACGCCACGTTCTACACCGGGACGACGCTCTCAACGCTGAGCTCAACGGACTTCCACCGGACTCCATCAACGTTGGGCTTGGACGACGACCGATTCCGGACGCAACGATCGTTGACGACCGAGGACGCCGACCGATGGTACTCGCACTCGACGGAGCCCAACGAGATCGGACCGGCGCTGTACCCGACGAAATTCCTGCCGGAAACGGAAACTCCCCCGCCGAGTGACGTCACGTCCGAGGATGAGCTGACGACGATCGAGCCAACGCTATCGACCAAGAAGGAAGCGCCCGCTACTCTGGGTCCGCCGATGTTCCCGGATTGCTCCAAATGGCCTTGTCTCAATGGAGGATCCTGCTTTTACTCGGAAAAAGGACCAAAGGTAAAATACATGGAGAGAAGGGTCATGTGAAATTATGAAAGTATCTATCGACCTGATTGATGAAGGAGAGAACGATCTGATAAATCTGCATCATAGCATTAAATTATTTCCTTCAGGAATTTTACATGAATTTTCTGTAAGATTTGACGAAAATTCCCATAAATTGTCAGCCATTGAACACGCAGTTGCATGCAAGGCTTCTGCATTAATCTGTTAAGAAAGGCTGTCAGAGAAATTAAGATGCTTGATTGGGTTCCTCCTGGGAGAAGACGAAGATAGCGCCCAGTAGAAGGATAATGAAAGGGGATTTTGCAAGAAATGAGAGAGTGCCAACTCCCCAAAGTGCTTTGGGAGGATAGGAAACTTCGGCGGCTAGGTACCGTAAAGCACCTCGAAACGCTGTAAAAGCGACTTTGAAAAATAGAGAAATAAGTTGTCCAATTAAATTTTAAAACGCTACGATGCAACTATTAAGCTCCTCTGTCTCTCATCTCTTTCAGTTCCATTCAAATATTTCGTAAATTACTTCGGGAGGGGGGGGGGGCGGCTCTTGGCTTGTCTTACGAGAGACGAGGAGGGCCCAGTACAGTTTTAAATAAGCCTGCCACAAAACAAAATCTTCAGTATATTTTGTTCAACCGTTTTTTCAGACTTCCTCCTTTATTTTCTAAAAAGAAGGGTCAGGCCAATCATACGCCGTTCAGAGAGAAGACAAGCGATAGTCTTACGCAAACCTTGCAGATGGGCGAATAGGGGTGGGGCAAAAAGTTAGAGTGCACATACGGGAAGAATACGGACAAGTCGGTAATTTTGAGGTTATATCATGGAGCTTTTGGGGCTCAAAAAAGTAGCCATCCTGTGAAATCAAATTATCCAGAATATTTTATAATTACAATTGATACGATCCGTCGTTTGTAAAGCACGTACTCGACCTAGTTTTTGCATAAATACACTCAATTTTTGCGAGAGGATGCTCATTTATGCACATTCTTGGCCGTCTTGGTTTGATGCTGGAATTTGAAGATTGGCAGAGGCATTTTTCCAGTGTTTTTCTTGTTAGAAGATTGGCTACCTTTTTGGCCCCTAATATTTCGACATGTCCAAACTCTCCCCATATAGATGCTCTAACTCAAATTCCGAAGTGATTAAATGAGCTTTCCCTTTGATTTTCGAAGATGTTTAATTGATGACGGACGACAGTGTGCCTGCAGGTTCGGCTGGGAGGGGGAGCTGTGCCAGGAGCGTCAGGGGGTGCAGACGCCGGCGCTGACCGGGCGCTCGTACCTGATCCACCGGCTGAGCAACGACACGGGGGCCGTCATCGGCGTGGACATCCGGACCCTGGCGCCCACCGGGCTCATCCTCTACGCGGCCATCTCGCCCCACCTCTACATGAGCACCTACCTCCAGGACGGACTCCTCAAGTTCCAGTTCTCCTGCGGCGTCCAGACCATGGTCTTCAGCGAGGTCAAGCTCCACATCAACAACGGATACAATATCAATATCATGGCTATGTAAGCTCCCTCCCTTTTTCACATATCGTCGCTCTTGTGACGTAAGAGCCTATCTCGATTTCTGCATGAGCCCCAGAAATCATGACTTTATACGTAGAACAGGACTCACACGAAAATTGATTTACACTGGAAAAAAAAAAAAACACATTGGATCTGGAGTCCAGACTCTTAAAAACATCGTCAAGAAAAAATACTCTTCATTCAATCGGATTTTTAAATCAAGAACCAAGCCTCTTAATTTGAGCGGATTTCCTTTTGATTTAAGCTTATATCTGATTGAATCAAGAGTATTTCTTCTTGTCAATGTTTTCAAGAGTCTGGACTCTAGATCCAATGTGGTTTTTTTTTTCCAGTGTACGCCCTCACTTCAGAGGAGCGACAATATCAAAGGCGTAGCAAGACATTTTTTAGGTGAGCGGGTCTACGGTAAACAAATTCTAATGGGGAAGAGGGGGGTGAGCTCAAAAGTAAAAAAAACAGTGGCGTATCCGGATACTTCAAACGGGAGGGGTGGCAGGGGTGTCCGGGAGGCTACTGTCAATTAGATTTTTTACAAAAGACCGTTGGTGCGGATTCCTTTGAAAATTTTGCGGAATTTGCTTCGCACTACGCAGAAAATTTACTGAAATTCCTGCAAAAATCTGCACAACTTTTTTCATGTGAAACATTAAATCGCTCAATTAAATTAGGCAATAACTGATGTGGCTTCGTCCCTTTTCGCTTTACGCAGTCGAATTATCAAATCTGTGCGTCCCTTCTTCTTCAAAATGATTATTTCAAATGAGTCGCTCAAACTTAATGACCACACAATGAAGGAAACCTTACTTTCTTTTTAGTGTTTACATCGATTTACCTCTGGCAATTCTAGATATATTAAACAGGGTATATCAGTCAACAAAAATGAAGGATTTTGAACTTCATTTATTACATTGAGTGATGCAAAAAATAGACTCAGTTTTAACTTCATATGGGTTGGTTCCTTTCTGCCAGATACGATCCCATTACGACTAGGAGGCGATTCTGCTTTTCGATTAATTTTCGCTGATAAAACATGTACTTTGATCTAGAATCGAGATGGGCTCAACGATAGAAGACTTGGGAAAATGCACGGCCTCGCTGCTGGTAAATAACACGTTGAAGATGAGCGGGGACCAGATGACGACACTCACCATCAAACAAAGCTCCGAGAACCTACTCTACCTCGGAGGGCTTCCTGATTATCTCCAGCCACAGATAGACATCCCAGTCAAAACAGGCATCACCGGTTGCATGAGAGCTTTACAGGTGTGTCCTTAAGCAACTTTCATCTTGAGCTTTTTCGAGAATTCAAAATGATGACCTTTCAAACTTGAAACTTGTTCGCTATTTCCGCAGAGACAAAAGACCCATCGCTGGCCTCTTGGCGACAAGTGGAAACCTTTACTTTTGGAGATTCAACACTTCCTTATGGACAATTATTATATGGGAGCAACAGTCATCACTCTTATTTCGGCTGTTGACCTACCTACATGGTGGATGATGAGCTTCGGGTGACGTCATGAGCTAAATAAATTTCTCAAACTCCGGCTTGTTTGCAAAACGAAACTGTCAACATGTTCTTAACCATCAACCATGTAGGTAGGTCAACAGTTGAATGCTGAAGTCCCAAAAGTATTGCTAAGACACTAGAGGAGGGTCTCTTGTCTCTGTATTTACGCCCTGATACTCTCTATCATTTCTTTCCGCAAAAAAAATAAATAAATAAATAAATAAATAAATAAATAAACGCGAATTAATAAATGCGAATGAGATGAGAACATAAGCGAGGATAAGATTTAACAATTGAAATAGGAGGCTATTCCTCGTTTTCTCTACTGATTTTTTCGTTCGTGCTTCAACTTGCTCGGATTCAGAGAGTATACTACAATTTCAGTCTTTCGTAAAACTAGTTATTTCGTCGCTAAGATGACACATCTATTAAAGTAAAGAATCATGAAGTCATTCTCTCTCTTTTAAGACACTCTGATTGTTTTCAAGTCTGGTTTTCCCTAGTGGACTTTCAATTTTTTCGTTGGAGACTTTGACACTATTTGTCGATAGATAGACGCTGTGGAGGTGGACATATACAATGATGCGGTGGAGGGAGAGCAAATCACGGAATGCTCGTCTTTGGCCTGCCTGTCGAACCCGTGCCACGGAACAGCTACTTGCGTCGAATTCGCTGACACCTGGAACTGCTTGTGTCCAAACGGGTAAGATCAGATATAGGGGCTCCAATGGATGAGTCAAAAATAATAAATCCTCGTTGAAAAATGTAAATGATGTAACAACAAATTGATTTGCTTAAGAGACTTTAACGCGCAGGTAGAAAAGAGAGCCGAAATTATTCAGCGTTCTTCTAGTTTCCCCTTACAAATACCTAGGTGCCTCTGTGAGTGAGCCAGAAAACGTAGTTCCTCGTGAAAAAATGTAGTCCGTTTGTTACAAAATTAATGTGCTTGCACGACTTTAACGCGTCGGTAGGAAAGAAAGCAGAATTTGTTCAGCGTTGTTCTAGTTTCCCTATACAAATAGGTGAATCAGTGTATGAGCCAGAGGTAGTAATTTTATATTGCTTAGATATATACATCCTTGGGGATTAAGGCGATTCATGAAAGTTGGGAACACTGTTTTTCCTACATTTAAATACAGGTAAAACAATCGATCCTTGGCGAGGCAGATTGCCTCACCTAATATCGATATTTTTAATGAATTTTTTGTGAGAAAGACAGTGTTCCCAACTTCCAACATCGCCACCATTGCGGACACAACACTGCCAAGAGCCCAGAATCACGGCGACTGATCATTTAAATGTTGCCAAACTCCTACTATAATATTTATTTTTAAGGCGAGTTCTGAATATTGTACTTTGAAATTTGAATATGCTTTAGATCGAATTTGAAATACAATTGTCTAAAAAATGTCATGTAAAATTTCGATGATTTTGCTGAAAAAGTCATGTTTCTTGAAGGAATGGCAACATCTTGAGGCTCATAGGGCGTTTTTCCTCAGCACGGTAAATTAGGGAATAGATTTTTGTTTTTACCTAGTTTGAGCGTAGTTTTTACATTTATGCACTAACCAAAAAGTAATATGAAAAATCTAGTAACCCTTCATAAAAAAAGAGTTTTCTACTTTCAGATATGTTGGTCTTACCTGTGAGCAGTCAGTTTGCTTGAATAATCCCTGTCACTTTGGGGCAACATGTGTTCAATATCCGGGAAGTGGATTCCTTTGCTTGTGTCCCTTGGGAAAGCATGGTCTATTCTGCGAACACGGTAAGAATTAATCAGAAGATAGGAAAATTAATGGAAAGTACAGACAGGATCTATGCAGATTATACGCATCAAATACGTTCTAATCATAGATAAAATAGAAACAAAATAAAAGAAGACCTTTTCCATCACGTTTATTGAAACATTTTCCACTCGGCATTTCTCTTCGATAAAAATCATTGATTGAAAGAATACACAAATGCATCGGATCACCTTGAAAAGTTGAGTTTTCTATGATTACCTACCTACTGGGTTTTATTTCAAGCTAGTGATTGTTTCGTTTCTTAGAAAGAATTTGAAATAGCCCACGATTGAATTTCCTACTTCAAGAGTTAAATTTAATTGCATTTTTCGGAACTCTTTTTTTAGATTTTCTTGTCTTCTAAAAAAAATTTCACCAATAAGTTGCGACAACTCCTGCCCAAGAAAGAAAATAAAAGAAGAAATAGTGTATCTTTCCTTCGGAAAATACACTAAAAACCGTGATGCAGCCGATTTCAAGTTATGTAAAATTGAACTGTTGAAATGCACTCGTAAACATGTTAATGTTTTACTATCTTTTGACCTTTAATTTTCTTTTTTTTTTTTTTTTTTGGTTCCTTTATTCTTAAAATCCAACAGACTTGGAGGTGGGGCAGCCATCTTTTTTCTCCTCGGTGAACGGACTCTCATCTTTCATCGCGTACCCTCTGCCGACGGCCATCCACAACAGCTTCGAGCTTCGATTCCGCTTCGTCGCCGAGGATGCAGACCAAATCTCACTCATGCTATTTATCGGTCAGGACCACATGCATGATGCTATGACCGATCACTTTGCGGTAAATTCCATCTCCTTTCTATTTAAGACACTTGGAAATAAAGTGTTACTATTTTGAGGGTGGATTCAACTTAAATTAAGCCCTAAGTAAAAAGGACTGAGCGTTGTTCGCAATTTTATCAAGTACTAGGGGCCTTTGGCCGCTACGCGGCCGCCAACCATTGGAAAAAAACGATACGTAAAAAATCGAAGAACAACCATGTTCAAGTTAAGTTATTTCATAGAGAAATGGATTCAAAAGCCGAGTGGGGCACGCGGAAGAAAGCGTATTCATCTTTGATTGCAACGTTATGCACCAATTCTTATGTCTTATTGTTGAACACCGTTTCTAAAAAAGCTACACACAGTTTTTCTAAAAAGTTCCCAAGTTTTTTTTTTTTTTTTTTTTTTTTTTTTTTTTTTTTTTTTTTAATCTACACACAGTTTTTTTAGAAGTTTCCGAGAAATTTCCAGAGTACCTTAAAATAAAATCACAAAAAAATTTCGACGCGACATTTTCATTCTTTCCGTTTTCTTTCTCCTAAACCAAAATCAATTTAATGCGATTCAAGTTTCAGAATCGCTACATCGTTTAAACATCGTCCGAGTTTCTGAATCGTTGCAATTAAGATACATATTTACCCTTTAATTGGGGTAAAAACCGGGTAGGGGCCGTAAGAAGAAATGACGCATGGACCTAGTTCTGAGGCGATTTTAGCATCGCCCAAGCCAGGGAAGGGAGTGCGGTCGAGTGTCGAGTTATCTTCAGTTATCGCCAATAATAACTCTCGCATTGCGTTTGGTGCAATGCCAGAAGTATTCATGCAGTCTTGTAGGCGCTAACATGCGCTTGACGCCAACCGCACTGTTTAGAGCAATGCATGAAGTATTCTTGCAGTCTTGCAGGCGCTGATATGAGTTTGACGCCGCGCCGACCGCACCGTGTTTGGCGCGATCATTCGAACTTGCGTAAAAGGATGATCGCGGCATCGAAAAATGGGGCTTAAAAAGCCCATGTTGTGTTTCGACACCGTATGAGCATTCCAACGTTGCCTCGTTCCTTCCGATTTCCGATAACACATTCTCTCTGAGAAAAGTTTGGAAAGTTCTCTTTTAGATTGAACGGACCATTAAACAAGGTACGAATTTCAGCACTCTGGTACATGATTTTTCACCAGAATTTCACGTAGAACAGAATTCGCGCAAGAAAAACTACTGAAATCAACTTCTAGCTAAGATATTAACGTTTTATGGTCCATTGGTTACGGGAATTTTGAATTGTCCGGTCGAGGTTTCGATCCCTCTATTTTTCCGGCCATCGAGGGACTGGGACGGTCAAGTCGGTGCTACACGTGCACTGGAAAAAAAAAAAAAAAAAAAAAAAAAAAACATTGGATCTAGAGTTCAGACTCTTGAAAACATTGACAAGAAAAAATTCTCTTGATTCGATCGGATTTTTGCTTGAATCAAAACGAAATCCGCTTAAATTAAGAGGCTTATGGTTCTTGATTTAAGCTAGATTCTGATTGTAGCAAGAGTACTTTTTCTTGTCGATGTTTTTCAGAGACTGGACTCTAGATCTAAAGTATTTTTTTTTTTTTTTTCCAGTGTGCCCGGATTGGCCCGGCGGGCCCCGCTCAATTTTGACCTGATGGGTCGGGTTTCCGGAATTATACATCATTGTGATTTTGTTTTACGACGAATGAAGTGATACTCGTTTTTCTCTGAACGTTCATTCTTTCTTAAAAACATGTAAGCTATTAAAAATCACTTAAAATTTAGACCACAATGGTTGTAAGAATTACCTATGAGTGTCTAGTTCAATAAATAGTTGGCCAATGGTCAAAGTCGCGTGAGACAATCCCACAAGATTTTACCTAAAAGTAGAAAGAAATTGACGGATATAGAGACAATACAGTCAATTACCTCATATCCCGAATCAGAATCTCAATGATATAATATGTTTCCAAGAGACCTTTGGGTAAGTGTTGGAGTTTGACAGAAGAGAAATTCGACTTCAAATACCCTTAATGACCGATGATCGACCGCGGCCTTGATGGAGGATCAAATTCCGATCAAAATAGACCACAGAATAATTGGTGGTCTCAGGTGTTTGGATTCCAACGATTTTCCGAAATCCGAGATTACAAAGTGGTATTTTTTTTTTTTTTTTTTTTTTTTTTTTTTTTGCCAAGATGAATATGAAAGGGGTTAAAAGGGCAAAAATGACAAAAGAACTTTTTAGCCTAAAAGACTTATTCTAGCAAATCCTTAGAACTGAAAAGACTTCATTCTTGTACCAGCACCAGCATGACCTGTTAGCGTAGCTGCTAAAAACGTAAAGCCCTGCATAGACGATCAAATTCCAAACCAATGCCGATCAAAGTAGACATGCTGATGACTGGTGGTCACCATCTACCGTCAAATTTTGACGGGCCGCACATTTTTGTTCAAAGTAAGATCAGAATGGAGTGCCACCATTCATCATTTCCTGCCACAGGAAACATTTCTGCACAGTTTTCATTTTAAAATGAAGCAAATTAATAAGTTTAAGACTGATGACTCCCGACACTTTGATACTACTTTGATCGGAATTGGTTCGGGAATTTGATCGTCTATCGAGGCCTTAAGGCCTAAAGCATTTTTTTGTTTGTTGAATGGTGGAGCAGGTTAGTTTCATCAAAGGTTATATCGCATTAACGTGGAACTTGGGCTCTGGACCGCGGAGGATTTTCATGTCGCAGCCGATCAACGTGAAAGCGCACCTGCAACAAGCTCACACGGTCCGCCTGGGCCGGCTCGGGCAACGGGCATGGCTCACCGTTGACGGTTTGGGTAACGTCACCGGAACCTCACCCGGTCGACTCACGCAACTCAACACTAAGCCAATCATTTTCATCGGTCAGTATCATTTTATACGGATTTTAAACATTTCACTGAAAAAAAAAATCTCGGTGTATTTACTAAGAAAAGGGTAAAATTACCAAGAATTCAGGATTCTATATGATCCCAGTTTTTTCTTGGTAAAATTACCATTTATGGAATTGGTAATTTTACCGATATATCTCGGTAAAATTATTGAACTTTCTCGGTAATTTTACTGGACCTTGGCAAAAACGCCAATATTTTTTATCCACTGTGGTAGAATTACCGAGATAAAATGCCAAAGTTACCGGGAATTGATTACTAATAAAAGTGGTATTCTTACCTGAAAAAAAAAAAGTAAAAATACCGGTTTTTAGGTAAGCTTACCAGTCTGTCTTGGTGAAATTACCAATAATTGGTAAAAAATGTGAGATGGTGAAGGTACCAACGGACCTTCGTAAAAACGCCGAGAATTTTTTCTCAGTGTTTTAAACATATCAACGCGGCGAAACTCCCAAACCACGTATCTTATTTGAGGGGCTTGGAGGACAAGGCGCATAAGTGCAGTTTTTGAAAATATTGAGATATTAATGATTTCAGGTGAAACTAGTCATCGTGCATATTCTGTGAAAAATTCGCTCCCAATTTCCAATTTTCAAGCATCAAAAAGTCAGTTTGAACTTTCTTTCCACCATAAGGATCCATGTAATTTCCAAACTTCAAACACGAATTTCTCGAAACAGCAAAAATTGCAATTGTCCTCCAAGCCCCTCATTTATGATGTTTGAATATCTCTGCTACTTTCCAAAAAGAACAAATCAACATCATCCCTTAAAGTTTTTCCAGAAACTGCTCCGCACTCAGAAGATAAACCACTGAAGTTTTTAAATATGGAGGTTCAATAGATATCCAGTTAAAAATGAAGTATGGTACAAAGTCTGCAACGTCGCAAACCGAGATGCGTGGTTTGGGAATTTCACCGTTGAAGTGTTGTGCAGAGACGAGAAGTTTGCAGAGATTGGATTGAACTCCTGCGGGTGAATACTTGAACACTCAGAATTTCATCGGATTAATTTATTTTCTTTTTCTTCAATTTCATTGATTACTCCAAGTGCCGTACATTAGTCCAATGATGACGTGCAAGTGCAATTTGTTATCATTTTGTTATTTGAAGCGGAAAAATCGAGGGTGCTCCAGCTTTTTGATTGGCTCGGACTGGATGCAACTATTCGTGTTCTCGGGATGTCCATGTTGCATACACAAAAAGTTGGAGGCGCTCTGGCTTTCTGAAGCACAACGAATAGCTGCGGCTGGCAATTCTCAGGGGCTTTCTACGTTGCATTTACAATCGTGTTTACCCTGAACCTCGAAATTCGGATGAGTCGCGTAGCACAAGGGCAGCGTTGAAAACTAGTGCGTTTTGCGGAGATTATCGTTAGTATTTTGTGGTATTGACTTCCACGATGCCTTTGCGGTCATGTTATTGGTGGAAAACTGACACCAATTAGCAAAACTGCAGTGATGCAACACGGCTCATTGAAACTCGGAGAAATTCTTGGTAAACATGATTGTAAATGCAACATAGAGAACCCTTGAGAACTAAAAACTGCAATCGTATGTTGAGCTAAAGAATGCCGGAGCGCCTGCAATTTTTTGCGTATGCAACACGGACATCCCGAGAACACGAATAATTGTATCCAGACCTGACCGTGTCCATAAGTAGATATGCACAGAATTTCTTTAAAAATTCAGAACAATTTTAAGAACGGTTTTAATTGAAATCACGGGAAATTTCGTCTCGACATTATATTTAGTCCTAGTTTCCTTTTTAATTGTTTTTACCGGGAAAAAAAACCACGGTCCCTGATTCTAAATCGTAGCTATTAGGATTGATATTTTGGTTTTTTATAGTGAAAATTAGAAGGGAGTCATAAATAATGACGCATCGTTTAAGTGTCGCAGCAATTTTAGTGTTCGTCCCGCCAGCGAGGGTCGGCAGGGCGGTGAAGACATCTTCGCAGTTTGACGGGCCTTCAATCCGGCGGAGCTGCAACATGCTTAGACCCGTGGTCGAAAAGTTATATGTCACACCTGCCGTAAACGAACTCAAATATCGATGGTTCCACGCGAAAAGGAGCTTATTTACCTGGATTGCAACGTTGCAAACCACGGTTAATACTACAATTTCGATAAATATTTTTAAAAGATATGCACAGATTTGCTGAAAAATGTACAAGAATTTTTCGAACGATTTTAATTGAAATCACAGGAAACTTCGTCACCACATTTTATTTAGTCCGATTTTCCTTTTTTTGTTTTTACCGAAAACAAACCATGGTCCCTGATTCTAATTCGTAGCTAGTAGTATTGTTTTTTTTCTTTGTTACGGTGAAAATTAGAAACGAGTCATAAATAATGACGCGTCGTCTAAGTGTCGCAGCAATTTTATCGTTCGTCCCGCCAGCGAGGGTTGGCAGGGCGGTGAAGACATCTTCGCAGTTTGAAACGCCTTCAATCCGGCGGAGCTGCAACATGCGTACACCCGTGGTCAAATAGTTTTATGTCACGCCTGCCGTAAATGAACTCAAAAATCCATGATTCCACGCGAAAAGGAGCTTATTTACCTCGATTGCAACGTTGCAAACCACATTTATTGATTCAATTTCGATCAAAATGTTTTAAAAGATACGCACAGATTCTCTGAAATATTTACAATAATATTACGAACGATTATAATTTAAATCACGGGAAATTTCGTCGCGATATTTTATTTAGTCCTATTTCCTTATTTTCTTTTGACCGAAAAAAAACCACGGTCCCTGATTCTAAATCGTAGGTATTAGGATAATTACTTTTGTTTTTTATGGTGAAAATTAGAAGGGAGTCATAAATAATGACGCGTCGTCTAAGTGTCGCAGCAATGTTATCGTTCGTCCCGCCAGCGAGGGTTGGCAGGGCGGTGAAGACATCTTCGCAGTTTGAAACGCCTTCAATCCGGCGGAGCTGCAACATGCGTACACCCGTGGTCAAATAGTTGTATGTTACGCCTGCCGTAAACGAACTCAAATATCGATACTTCCACGCGAAAAGGAGCTTATTTACCTCGATTGCAACGTTGCAAACCACAGTTAATGCTCCAATTTCAATCAATATATTTTAAAAGATACGCACAGATTTTCTTTCAAAATTTACAATCATTTTACGAACGATTTTAATTGAAAATACGGGAAATTTCGTCGCCACATTATTTTAAGTCCTACTTTCCTTTTTTTGCTTTTACCGAAAAAAGAAACCACGGTCCCTGATTCTACATCGTAGCTATTAGGATAGTTATTTTGGTTTTTTATAGTGAAAATTAGAAGGGAGTCATAAATAATGACGCGTCGTCTCAGTATCGCAGCAGTTTTAGCGTTCGTCCCGCCAGGGAGAAACGGCAGGGCATCTTTTCAGTTTGAGGCGCCTTCAATCCGGCGGAGCTGCAACATGCTTACACCCGTTGTCAAGATACGCACAGATTCTCTGAAAAATTTACAAGAATTTTTCGAACGATCTAATTGAAATCATGGGTTCATTAATACAATGATAAATAAAAAAACTAAAATGAAGAGTATTCATGCGAAAGTTAATTGCCTAACTTCATCGGAAATTACATACTTGATCCTCTTCTGGATCTTCTCATTTAATTTACTGGAAAATGTGTAGACTCGAATCTCATGAAATTTTTAGTATCTCGTCATATTCCAGCCTGAGTATTACAAGCGCCATGCAATGTTTAAAAATTCCCGCCACCAAAAATTGTTCTAAACTGTCCGAAAATTTCACTGAATTTTCTTTGAGCTGCCGATAAAACTCGGTGAAATTTTGAAACCGATTCAACCAAAAATGTCTCTGTAAAAAAATAAAAAGGTGGCGCAAATTTTGAAACGTCGCATGGCGCTTGTGATACTTTGGCCGGAAGGTGACAATCTACCGTGAGAGGCACTGTTGGCAAGCGGTGCAATTTGCGGGACCATTATCGGAAAAAACGAGCGAAATCACGAGCAAAGTCATCATCTAAAAAGTGACTGATCACAATTTTTAAAACAAAATAAGAAATAAATAAATTGAGACTGATTCTGAGTAGATGGTTTCATGAAAACACATTCTCTACAATTACAGGAGGGCACAACTCCGAAAATTTTTCGATACTTCCGCACGACTTGCCACTGCACAGAGGATTTTTGGGATGCATCTTCGATGTACAGCTACGAGCCGGAAGAATATCGCTGAATCTACAGAAAACCCGAGCGGCCATCGGAAGAGGTGTAGGCCAGTGCGCGACTACACCCTGCTACTCGACTACCTGTCATAACGGCGGAGCTTGCCTCAACCAAGGAGCCACTTTTACGTAAGTTCAGTGACGCAGCCAACAACTTTTTACTCGAGGGTCTGAGACCAATAATGTCCCCAAGGGGCAAGGCGGGGTCAAAAATCACGACTGAAGAATGAATTTCACCCGAACATGTTGGGCTGAACTGTGATAAAAATTGAGAATATGAGGACGAGAGCCAATACGCTGTGATAATACATAATTCAAATTTATTACTCACGTTTGGTTATAATAATTGGCTATTATTGTATTGTATTCGAAATTTTGTGGTGAAATCAAGGGTTTCTATTTTTGGCGAGGCGTGAATGATCGATTATCGATATTGCCCCATTTAAAGCCATAGGAAAGAATCGATTATTAAGGTGTTCGTTGCGAACACCCTGTCTATCGATCCTTTCCCATAGGTTTAAATGGCAGATCGATCGATGTATCGCAAATCACGCCCCACCACTGGTTTCTATGTGAGGCAAAAGGATACTTTTCGGTAGGTGAGAGAGATACTTAACATTTTTGTGATTTCGGAGAAAGAGGTTTCCGTATTGTCTAATGTGAACAAGATATTAGTAAGGGTCGGTTTGAGATACTTTAAAATGAGTCCATCTTCAAGCTAAGGACTAGTAGAGAAAAAAGAATAATTATAAGAAAAGAACTGACTTTAATTTCATGTTAAAACGAGGGGCAGTTTTACAACATAGCTTTCTGTCGCATAAGGTGTGCAGAGGTAATAAAATGAGAATTCTGGTAAAATGTTATTTTTTTCTTTACTCAAAAATGAAGAGAAAGACACTTAGATGAATTCTGCACTCTCTTCCACCTAAAAATAAGCTCCTACAGCATAAAGGTTAACCCACCTATTGTTTAAGAAGTATTTCTTAGATAAATTTATTCGGATTTGACCGGAACTTGAGCTTGGAGGACCAGTTTCTCTTCATTTATCATGCGCAATTCGCTCAGAATAGATATTATTAACTTCCAAATTTAAAAAAAGAAAAAAAAAATACTTAGATCTCACGGCGGAGTCTCAGCAGAGACCGCAGTTTAATATCCAAGAGAGAGAGTCGATATCATGAATGAAAATTTAATTAACACCGGCAAAAATTCATAAAAAAACTGGGTAGAAACTTTTATTATCCAAGCTTTGCGCGATCTCCCTCACAGTGTCTTGCGTTTGCTTTGGGCGCTCAACATAATGCGTACTAACTTTATTAATTTTTCCCCCTCCTCTTTGTTCAGTCTAAGTTTAGATACAATATACACGAGGAAGGTGGGTAAGAGAATAAAAGTCAATATGAGTTTGAAAACTTTTAAGCATCTTGGCGGTTGAGAAAATCTCAATTAAGCCTCTTTAAGATATAGGAATAAAAAAATGAGATGCAATTTTTGAACGTATTTCCTGTTTTTTGCTTATTTTCGAGAACCAAGAGGAAAAGAAAGAATGAGAGAGGAAACAAGAACAGAATTGAAAAACTGAAGAAAAGCAGCGTTCGGGAATGTATTTTTTTTATTTGGATATGAATATTTCGTTTACTTTTGAAGATCACAATTTGCTACTAAAATTAACGATAACCAATTGTTATTGTAATAGAAAAATATTTACTGACTACAAAGAAATGAGTATCATGATAATCATTTTCAAAACTGAAAGCATTACAAAACTTTCGTGAATTTTCAGGTGTCTTTGTCCGGATGGCTGGTTTGGACCATTATGCTCACATCGGTATAATTTGTGCGATTTCACGAGACATAATTGCTCGTCAGGGTCGACGTGTGTACCACTAATCGAGCATTATGAGTGCGACTGTCCGATTGGTCGCTCTGGAAAATTTTGCGAGAAAGGTTAGTTTATAACAGTTATAAGCTCAGATTAAAGGGAGGGGGGGGGATTTTGGTGTTTTTTGTTTTTTCATTGGGATTACATGATAGAGGAAAAGAAATATTTACACATTTCTGACTTTGCTATTTTCTACAATGAGTCTAAAACAATTCATGAAAACAGGGGATGAAATCGGTGATCATTCTTCAACTTAAATGTAAAAAGTTAAAGTTGTAAAAATTTGCTGTTAAAGGGAACAAAAAAGGATAGTGTGTATTAAGTGCTCTAGGAACTACGGTAAAAAATAGATATCCGTTAATATCACCAGGTAACTTTGACATTTAAGTCTTTCTTGCACCATGCTAAGGGTGACTGGGATGTGCGTGATAAGAGGGTGGGAGATTCTTCGTTGCATTTCTGTCAACAGCGAAACTAACTGGACAGAATGAAACGTCGCACATCGTTAAAATCGCGAAAGGACGATTTATAACGATTGACGATTCACCAGAAGGCATCGAACTTCTTAGCAACTGTTTCCAAAAGAGATGAATGACTAGCATAGAGCGGCTGACTGCTACAGAGGTCTCTCCACGTGACCCCAACAGCATCATCACCAGCGGTCAACGGGACGGCATCGATGATCTCACCGGTCTCATCGTGGAAATTCATCGCGACCGTTTCCATCCACGAATTATCCGTGTTGCGCGGATCGTCCACGTAGCCTCGATACAAGACGTCACCGCCGGCAAAAAACGAGTTGAGCTGTTTCTCGAGTTTGCTCTTCTCTTCGTCCGACTTGGTCAAGGAATCCAGGGCTTCCTCCATGAATTCCCTCTTCAGGGTGCGCGAGACGTTCTCGCCAGGGTCGACCATCCCTCCAGGGATGGCCCATTCCCCACAGTCCCGTCTTTGAATGAGAACGACCTGGAGGATCTTCTTCCCGCCGCTCGTGGCTACGATACCACTGGCGTCCCTTTTCCACTTGGTCACGATCGGGTCTGCGGCGTGGTTCGGGCCCCACCTCCCGAGCAACCCCCGCCCCACGATACCGGTCCTCCCGACAGGGTTCAAGGGTGCTTTTTCCGCGATGGCGTATTCGCCCGTGAAACTTTTCCGGTTGACATCACCGTCCAGTTGGTTCCACGTGGGCTTGAAACTTGGTTCTGAGAGGTCCGGATCGGCCCAGGGTTGGTTCGTTGCTTTGGGAGACGTGTACGGGACCGGTTTGTATTCGGGCCATTCCACGCTCCAGCAGACTTTTTCGTCGGGGACCACGGCGCGCTGGACGGCGGAGCCGGGGTAGAGTCCGTTTCTACATTTAAAATGCGCCTTCATTTTGATAATTCTGCAACAAAACCATTACACTAGCGTCAAAGATTGATTCGTCGGAGGTTTACTCTATCTTGCTAGAAGCACGAGAAAATAATTTAAATTTTAGGCGACTTATTTTCTATTGGGATTGCAAAAGGAACTTGGGTATACTTCCATATCACGTTTGTTAGATTTTAGGAGCTTCGTTAACTCTAAACGATCAGATTTTCATAAGGCCCACGTAAGATTAAAATGTTAAAGCTTCCCTCGAAAATATCGCTACTCCTGAACTCTTTCAATTTTCCTCGGATACATTGACCTCTACCTAAAACTAAGCTTTTTAAGCTTTCCTTGTCTTCTAAACTCCTTTAATTTTTTTCCGATAGCTTGAAGCCTAGAAACATCTATGCTGAAGGAATAAGCTATAAATTTTATGGAATGTCCGATACACTAAAAGTCTGGAAATTCTGCTCGAAGCGAAGGGCTAAGTCTTGGTGTTAAAACAAACGAATTGCTTCAGAGCCCGATTTCGATCCGAGTTTTCCTCGATAGGACTTTCATAAATGGACGCTTGAGACAAGTTTAACCTAAAAAATGCATGAGTTTGAAAAGAAAAGCAACTTTTCAAACATTCAGAGAAAAAAAGATAAAAGCACAATGCGGACAGTTCTTTGGTGAAATATTCTTCAGATTCATGCAATCTTCGCCCTTTAAAAAACCGATGTTGAATTTTATGCACAACCAACACTACTAAACCTACACACAATTTCACCTATTTACAGAGGAACAACTATCAGACGTGAGCTTTTCGGGAACACGATCGTTCTTGTCGATAGCTCAACAAGAACTGCACCTTTTAGAAACGACTCTGGAGTTCGAACTGAAACCGGAAAAAGAGAGGGGATTGATCATGTTCTCCAGGAACTCGAAGCATAATTCATTCTTCGCGATATCGCTGCAAGGTGGAGTTCTCGAACTACGACTACTCACGCAAGGTAACCTGATAACCTATCTACTCCGATAGACGAATTCAAATATAAGCATTGACTGGGGAAGGGAGAGGAAAGAAAGATGGAGAAAGATAGTACTGATGAATAAAAAGAAAGAAGACTAAACACAAAGCTGAATCTTTAAATAAAATCGACATTTACGATAAACTGATTAGTACATGATTAGATTCTTCAGTAGATAAGTTTTTTAGTAGTTTTTTAAGTAGAGGGTATTCTTCAAACATTTACAAAAAAAGAAAAACATCACAAAATGAATGGGTCGGTTGCGCTGGTCTTAAAATAATGTTTTGATGCTAAATTCTTATAGATTTGATGTAAATAATAATATTTGTCCGAACACCGACTTTCTACGTTGATTATTAACCAAGATATTGTGCTTTGAAAAATTCGGTTTATGGCGTCATCCATCGCGGTAGTGATACCCTTGGTTCCTTCTACCTTGCTTTCATTAAAGTTCCACGTTGAGTAATGACTGATAAAAGCAAGGTGGAAGAAAGCAACGGTGTCACTATCGCGGTGGAAGGCGTCATAAACCAAATTTTTCAAAGCGCGATATCTCGGTTAATACTTAACGTAGAAAGTTGCTGTTTGGACGGATCTCATTATTTTCAGCTGATTACCGAGGATCAATCATTAAGACAAGATTCTGTAACCAATGCAACTGACCCATTCTGATGAGTTTTAGAGCAAGACTGAGGGAGGAGAGTGTTCAGCTCAGGCGGACGCATTAGAATACTAAATTTAAAGTTCATCGTGTTAAAGACCGAGACATAAAAGTTTTGTTTTTAACAGGTGGAAGTAACGGAGGAGAAATAATCGTCGTCCGTAGCGGGAGAATTTTGGGCATGAACGCATGGCATAAAATACAGATGAGCAGATTCGGTCGACGGGTTCAACTCGCAGTAGATGGCACCTCCAACTCGGCCACGCTCCTCACAGGTCAAGTGCTACTGGCCACAGATTCACTTCTGAGCATAGGTCAGTATTTCCATACGGAAGTTAAAATCTCAAGAGAAGCCAGCTCTTCTTCAGTTTTTAAGCGATTACCTAGGTTTTTCGATATGGCATCATGAAATTGTGAATTCTCCCATTTAAAAAATGTAAATTTCAATTGTCATTGTTCGTTTATGAGAGCACCAAGTCACTTTAACGCTTTTTGCGACTATCGGCAGGTGCTTTAAATGGTCCCGTTTTCTATAAATTTTAGAAATAAGATCCACGCGGCGGATTTTTTGGGGCACAAAGCGTTTTCTGGGGGTTGAGCTGTGTAGCGGCCAGGGGGTATGATCTCCAGTTATTTAACAGACGAAACAGCAGGCTTTGGAGGACCGGGAGGTTTTAGAGGCAACAGAGATGGACTTCTGGCGTAAATCCGCTGGTATTTCCAGAAAGGATCGCGTCAGGAATGAAACGGCACGGGAGATCATGGATGCCAAGCAGACCATCGTGCATGACATTATGACAAAACAACTCATTTGGTATGGTCATGTCCAGAGAATGGCAGGAGACAGGTTGCCGAAGAAGGTCCTTGACTGGGTTCCTCCTGGGAGAAGACGCAAAGGGTGCCCAATGAAAGGTTGGAGGGAGGGGATTGAAGCGGAAATGTTAAGGTGCTCAATCCCCCAAGATTTGTGGTTTGAAAGAGAGCAGTGGAGGTTAGGAGTCGTAGAACGCGAGGGAGTGCTGTAAAGCGACTTATATGTATGTAAACAGCAGGCTTAATTGACTAATTTCATTAATTTTAGGAGGTGTGTCAGATCTATCAGAGCTTCCGAACGGAGCGATGGCCGGCCTGCCGATCCCGTTTACAGGCTGCCTGAGAAAGTTAATGATAAACGACAAGCGAATTCAGCTGGACGAAAGGACGATTTTGGTCGGACGAAATGTGGCCGACTGTGACGGGACGGCCTGCGGAGGTGACATCTGCCAACACAACGGGAGCTGCTGGCTTGACATCTCTCTTCAAGCTCACTGTAACTGTCCACAGGTTAACTAACACTATTCCAATACGTTTCGTTTTTTCGCGAGGAAAAATAAGTTAATAGGTTTCGTAATTCATAAACTTCACACATCAAAGCGTAACGCCTAAGATTTGACGTCAATGACAATAAGTCTCTTGAAAAAAGGGAAGAAGAAAGACTTGTTAAAGAGGAGACTATTAATTTACTCGTGGGTAGAAATTAAAGAAATTGGCGCAAGGTGAATTTTGCGCTGGAAACTTCTAATACAAGCATAAATTGGACGTATTTACATTAAAATGAACTACATCAATTCTAATATAAACCCTGAGATCCATAAAAATACATGCATGATAGAGCTCATGTCACAATGGGTATACTTCCTTTTGATTTAAATAGTCCAATATTGTGATTAAGAATACCTACTTTTACTTTAAGTTATAATAAAAGTCTTTAAGTATCTAATTACCAATTCATCCATATATGTACAACTGATACATTTTTTAATATAGCACGAGTAAATTTTCTTAACTATATCTGACTACAATTTTAGTTGAACTTCGAAGTTTAGGAAATATTTGACCCAGTTTCCGTATTAAATTAGTTTGGATTTTTTTTTTAAAGCATAGTTTTCCACTTACAGAGATGTGATCTGATCAAGATTATCGAACAAAACAGAACATATTCGCGGCTTCAATTTTTCTACAGTAATTTTTTCCAGCTTGTTCCAGAATTGTCCATTCCCGAATGAGTCCCAGTTCAGTGTCAGGCTGGCTTGAAAATTCCTGGGGTGCTGATACGTTTTGGGGGCCCCTAACTGACTTAAAGTCCTCATTTATGTAGATTTTTCAAGTTTTTGGGTCCTTTAAAGGAGTCTAACCGGAGCCCCTTGAGCCATCCAATAGAATTTTTGGGTTGCTGAAGCACCCTAGCAGTCCTAGCACCCCTGGCCAGACCGGCCCTATTCCGGTTTTCCCGGTCCTAGATACCATGACTGCTTAGCTCACTCCATACTTTCAGAATATAAATTAAAAAAAATGCACTGGAAAAAAACACACATCGGATCTAGAGTCCAGACTCTTAAAAGCATCGACAAGAAAAGGTACTCTTGATTCAATTAGAATCTAGCTTAAATCAAGAACCAAGAATCTTAATTTAAGCGGATTTCGTTTTGATTCAAGCAAAAATCCGATTGAATCAAGAGTATTTTTTCTTGTCAATATTTTCAAGAGTCTGGACTCTAGATCCAATGTGCTTTTTTTCTCCCCCAGTGTATGGGTCTACCTGATCTATTTCTCACGGTTATAATAAATCTAAATTTATTTGACAGGAGTACACGGGGGAGCATTGCGAGACACAGCTGTCGTGCATGGAGGTGAAGTGTCAGAACAAGGGACGGTGCCAGAAGGACGAGGACTCGGAAGTGCCCAGATGCCACTGTCCCTTGGGTTGGACGGGATCCTACTGTGAGAGGGAATCCGCGGTCGGGGCGCCGAGGTTTCAGGGCGACGGATATTTGATCGTCGACAAAACTGCCAGCGGCTTCAAACGCAGGGGTCTCAGTGAGAGGTCCAAGAGGAACGAGCTCGAATTCGTCTACGTTAATTTCTCCACGGCACAACCCGAAGCAATGATCTTATGGAGCTCTCAGGTATGCGAACCCAACACTCACTGGGAAAAAAACACACTGGATCTAGAGTCCAGACTCTTGAAAACATTGACAAGAAAAAGGACTATTGATTCAATCAGATTTAAGCTTAAATCAAAAGAAAATCCGCTTAAATTAAGAGGCTTGGTTCTTGAGTTAAGCTTAAATCTGATTGAATCAAGAGTATTTTTTCTTGTCGATGTTTTTAAGAGTCTGGATTCTAGATCCAATGTGTTTTTTTTTTTCCAGTGAACGAGGAACCTATTCCCAATTTATTACCAAGGTACTGAAGCCGAAGATGCAAAAGAAAACTTCATTCATTAAAATTTTATTTTCTATGAATTTTCAGGGACTGCGAATGCAACATGGAACAATTACCCACCGGAGAATTCGATTAGAAACTTCGAAATTTGTCTCAAAATTTTTCCCCCTTCACAAGTTCAAAATTAAAATTGAACTGCATCCACTCGTTTCATGACATACTAGGTCAAATGAAGGTTTTCTTTAAAAAATTTCATGAAATTTCGTTATATACCATTTCATAAAATTGAAATTTCGTTTTAGAACACTTCACAAATTTGGCACCGAGCAAGTACGACGACGATGCATGATGAGAGTTAACAACTGAACGCTGAATGCGAAACGAACAAGCGATCACTCTCCTACTAAAAGCTTGGATAGGCAACTATTCGTGCTTCACTGTTGATTGTTGCATCGCCTGGAAATGAAGGCGATTCATCGCGCTTCGCGAGACTTATTGTTAGAACATTTATGCCGGTATATGTATACCTGCTCTGTTCCGTCATGAAAATTAGTTTAAGATGATCAAAAACTACGGATACACAAAAGCGGGATTCAATACATTTATTAAAGTGTTAACTGAAGATAATTCCCTACGACTAAAAGCCGCACTCGTGGTTTCGACAAATACGATCAGCCATGCTGCCTTTTTGACGTGATACGATACGAGTCTTAGAGCTTATCTTCCTTATCTTCGCAAAGAGAAAAAGACGAAACCAATAATACCAGCAAAGTATTCCTCTACAGAGAATTTCAATCATAATATATAATTCAGAGGCGGATCCAGCAATTTGGCAACACCGGAACCTGGCCCCTCCAAGAATCGATACATTTTCATAGGTTTAGATGGAGGAAATCCGGTGTTGCCACATTGCTGGATCCGCCAATGATATAATTCATACTGCTTGGACTTAAATTCTAAGTATAAAATTGAATTGTTGATTTCAGGAGAGCGAGCTGATCGGGATCGGCGTGGAGGGCGGGCTGCTGAAGCTGGTCTGGTCGTGGCGCGGGGAGGAGCCCTCGACGACGGTGGTCGTTCCGCGGACGGTGGTCGCCGACGGGACGTGGCACGACGTCGCCGTCTCCATCACCGCGGCCAACATCACCGTCGTCGCCGATCAGAAAGCCACCCTCGTCTTCAACCACCACCAGGAAAGACTCATCGCCACCGACGGCATCTTTTACTTGGGTGAGCCATCCTCATTCCACTCGCACAGTCATTCATGAAGAATCTCTGCGGACTGATTATTGAAATTGATAGACAAAGCTATAGACAAATAAGACAAAAGAGATAAGGAGGGATCCTATTGGTGGAAGTGGGTGGTTGAAATGGACAAAGAAGGTTGGTAATAGACTAAGTAACGGCAACCCATGAGGAACCCGATATTCAGTCCATCATTTTCTCCCTTAGTCTTTAGTAACCACCCATTTCAAACAACAAGATGGCTCCATGCTCCCTGTGTCTTCTTTGTCTATTGCTTTGTCTATCAATTTCAATAATCGGCCCGCAGGATTGTATCTGAGAAACTCATTACTCATCAAGATTGATCCTTAGCTTCCGAAGACAAATCGTCACCTTCCGGCCAAAGAATCACAGGCGCCATGCGACAAAAATTTTCTGCCGCTATTTTACTTTTGCAGAGAAATTGTTCAACGAAGCTGTCCGAAAATTTCACTGAATTTTCTTCGGGTTGCCGATAAAACTCGGTGAAATTTTCGAACAGATTCAACCGACAATTTCCCTTTGAAAAAATAAAATGACGGCGGAAATTTATAACGGCGCATGTCACTTGTGATACTTCGGCTGGAAGGTGACGAAATCTTAAGGGGGACAAAATCCGTTCAGAAGAGGGAAAAGGACTGCGCTACAACACCAATGAACTCGGCGCCGGCTAAATTTTGAGTATTTTTTATGATTTTCCTTACGGTCTCCCGAGTAGTATGAGCTTTTAAAATCGAACTTTCTGGGTGCCAATCTCGAGAAAACTGGGTTTGCATTTTAATATGTGTATCATACCAATGGTGAGGCGTCGCCCGAAAAAAGGAGGAAGAAAAGGGAAACAAAAAAAAAAGGAAAAGGCGCGTGGATTTGGTAATAATTAATTGACTCAAATTGCATTTGAACGTATTTATGCTAAAAGGAGCTATTTGCATAGGGTTCGCGTGTAACATAGTTCCTTTTAGCATAAATACGTAAAAAAGTTCAAAAGTTCAAAACTTTTCTGGGGGAGGCCCCCGGACCACCCTTGCGCCCCCCTTCGAGGTGTCTGGATCCGCCTCAGAGTGGATCGAGTCAATTAGAGAGGTCGGACATAAAATGGACGTATTTCTACCAAACAGACCTATGTGGAGGTGAGAAATATGGGGTGTGCTCGTTAGTTCTCTGGCCGTAAGAGTGAATGGGAATAATAAAGCGGCAGTGACGTCAGCGGCAATGAAGGAGCCGCAGCGCGGCGGAGAGATCGTTGGAGGGAGTCTTTAACTCATGAGCCCTGTCCACAACGCTCTCTTGCCATCCTCGCGGCTCATGAGATCCTCATTCAGTTGGCACATAGGTCTGTTTGATAGAATGCAATATCCCGCTTTTCCAATTCTTCAAAAGGAACCACGCCCACTTTTACATTGCTTCTTATGCAGCTTCCTAGAGCACACCCCATGTTTCTCACCTCCGCATAGGTCTGTTTGGTAGAAATACGTCCAAATGTTTGACTAAAACTGCAAATTTTGTTGTTTACTTCGTCAAATTTTGAATTTTAAGGAGTGCTTAAGGTAGACAATTTTACGAGAAAACCAATGGAACCACTTTCAGGACTTGGAAATTTGGTATAAATGGAGTTATAAGCGTTTAAAGTTTCCAAATTTTGTCCGACCTCTCCTATTGAATCGATCCACTGTGCGCCTGTGCAAAACATTTATGTGCTCACAAGGCATTATTTACAAAGCGTTTATCAAGGGTGAAAAGAATCAACTAACCTAGTCGAAAAAAGGTTCAGGCGCACCACGTGATTTCACATTGCCCGGCATTTCGAACGACAATTTTGTGGGGGCAAACGTAACTTCCTGTTCCGATCAACTGAATCCAATAGCCCAAGCGGAACCCCGATTGGTCCCCGCCTTGGCCGGGCACTCCGCCTTCTTCTTGATCTTCCTCCTGGCGCGGGTGCTTATGACCTCCGTCTCGAAGAGGCTCACGATCTCGTCGTAGTAGACGTACGACGACGCGATGACCATCGCGATGAGCAGGACGATGACGCCGTACTTGACGGTGGCGTTTTGCCTCGTCCACATGTATTTGACGCGGGGGATGAGTCCTTCTCTATTGCAGGTCGGCATTCTGAGCTCTGAGATCTCCGACGGGTTGCTGGAAATGTCCGATTCCTCACGCATGGAACACTGATCCCATAGATTCTCGCGAGAGCTACATCTCATTCTCTGGTTCTGATACATTCAGTCGGATAGGCCCCGTTGTCAACGAAACTGAGAAGATTTTGAGGCTAGGATTGCGAGCCGACTCTGGTTCGAAACTGGAAACTGCGCGATTTGAGTTCACGTTCATTCGAAATTAAAGAAGGAGTACGTTGCACTAAGAATTTTGAAAATGTAACTGCTCGAGAAGTTAATGAATAATTCACGACGGGATTTCGAAACGGAGGATCATCACGGGGAATTTAGGTTGTTTACACGATAGAATTTTTCACGGGCGTGTTACTAAGAGACGCTCTGGAGGATTTGAATGCAGCATGGGCTGACATGGTTGCCGGATTACGCCGAAAAAATATTATTCACATTAGGCTTGATGTAAAAATTGCTGATTTTCGGCATAATTTGGCAACCATGTAGGCTAACCTCAACTAACCTGTACAAATGTTAGCCTTAAACCCCTCCGGCGAGCTTACATGCTATCCATTGACTGAAACGATGAGAATGAGAGATGAAACTTCTAATTTCCGACGGAGAGAGAGCGCATTATTTCGAACAGAATTCTTACAGCGATTGTTTCCGAAACTCATTTTTCCCCGCAACGAGATGACATTTTCTGATTATGTTACATTATGGAAATTTCAAACTTACGTCAGCGACCTTGGAAGGAATGGTTGACTGAGTAAGTTTACTTTTATAGACTTAAAGAAGGAAGGGTTTTGAAAAGCGCCGAAATGGATCTCCTCTCGACATCCTGCAATTTTTCGATATGGGAATCGCTGTTTAGGCGGCATATTTTTCAGGAATATTCGTCTTCAGACCGAACTGACATTTGAAAGCCTTAAAATAAAACCCGAATAAGAGACCTACCTTGTAAAGTCAGCAAAAATGTGCGTTCTCTCAGTAGTCCTGGTCATTTTTAGCTCTGCGCCCGAAGGAGAAGCTCAGTTAAAAATTGTAACATTTATCGCCGAGTTCAACGTTTACCGGGATTTCTCTAAATGTCGGGACGTAAAAAATTTGAACGCAGAAAAAAAAACACCACACACCAGGGCCGGATTTAGGGGGTGGCCACATGGGCCGCGGCCCATGGCGGCAAAAAGGGGCGGCAAATTTTGCATTTTTTTTAAATTTAGCTGCAAAGAAAAATCGTATGCAGAAAAAAATTACAAACGAGAAAAGGTGACAAAATCTCCTTTTGTGAGTCGAGTTAAGACTAAGAGAGAAACCGAACACGCAATTTGGCCTAGAACGGCGCGGCGCAGAGAGCAATGATGACTAGAACTTGAGATAAAAAGAAGAAACCCTCGACGCGGCGGTCGGCATGTAACACATATTAGCGCCTACAAAACTGCATAAATATTTCACGCATTGCGCCAAAGACAGTGCGGTCGCTGCGGTCGGCGTGAAAAGCATAGCGCCTACAAGACTGCATGAATACTTCACGCATTACATCAAACACAGTGCGTGCAGCAGCGGTTGGCGTGAAACGCATAGCGCTTACATGACTGTAGGAATACGTTATGAATAGCGCCAAAACACAGTGCGGTCAGCGCGGCGCGGCGGCGAAAGTTAAAATTTTATTAAACCACATTTACGTTTGTTCTTTCATAATATTTTCGTTCATTTCATACATATAAATGGAAGGCCTTGTCCACACAGAGATACTTAACTTTCGCGCCAAGTTCCGTGAACTTTTGCTAGTAGTGTTGACAGGGCTTTCGAAAAAATGTGTCCAACACGAGTAAACGCGTCTTATGCACCCCTCCCCCTCCGACACGTTCACTTACCTAATGGTTTTCATTGATGTTTCAAAACGAATGAGAAGGGGGCGGCAAAATGCAGGCCGCCCATGAGCGGCAAGTAAGTAAATCCGGCTCTGCCACACACCACCTAGTAGACCCAAATACAAGTACGACGACTGTAGGGGTAGGTAGCACAATACCTGTCTACCCCTACAATCAACGTCGATTCGTCTACTTAGTAGTTTTTTCGTCTGTGTTCGGAGTTTTAACATTTCTAGCGATCGAACTCGACAATAAATGTTACAAATACGGTCCCATTCTAATTTCTAAAGTCGTATGTTTTCATTATGTCTTTTATAGGTGGATTCCCGAAACAAAGATCAGTTCAGAACGAGACTAAAGCTATGTTCCATTCAAGCTTCCAAGGGTGCATCAGTGAACTAGCTTGGAGTGAAAGCATTGGAATCACTGATTTCAAAAACTTCCAAGGAGAGAATATAGCAAGCTGCGATGTCCACGCTGAATCGTAGACTACAAATATTATCAGCTGATTTTTAAACCTAAAAGGCGTTGCTTGAGAACTTAATCCTACTTTAGGTTGGGACGAAAGGTTAAGAATAGTTGCATACATATACCTAAGCAACAGGCGCTTTCACCGCGCTCTGAGACACCTAACCACCACGGTACCCATTCCTCTCAAAACTCTCTGAGGAGTAGAGAGGTGGAATATTTGCATTTAGACAATAAAACCAGGGGTGCAGAAACCCCTTGACTGCGCAATCGGCTAGTCAAGAACGGCCGAGTATGGAAATTAGAAGGCCTCGATAAGGAAATTGAAAAATAAGAGAACCGCGAAAAGGGCTCGAAGAATGCCGGTTCAAACCAACGTGAAAATTCTATGTTTTGAGAAAAACGACAGTCATTCAAAAATAAAGAAAAAGAAAGAGAAAAAAGTCATCCTTTTGAAAAATTTTGGGGTACGAGGTGTTTCAAAATGGGACGGCTGACTACTTTCTGCACACCTGAGGACTCACTTGAAAAGTAGCTAAGTAACTAATCAGGTATTTTTACGATTCCAGTTGGCAATGAGCATTTCGGGTTTTTCTGCCTTCCGGCTGTAGCAGGTGCAATGTTCATACATCAAATACTTCATCCGTGACACAGAGTAAGATTCAAGTCGATTGCCAAAGTGCGAAACCACGTATCTCCATTGCGGTGTTTCAAAATTTTCGCTTCTATTTTATTATTTCGAAGAGAAACGAGCCAACTTTAAAGTTTGAAATTTTTACAGAATATTCTATTAGCAGTGAAGAAGTATCAACTTTCAAGGTATTACGTTGACTAGTTACCGAGAAACTGCAAAGAATGATAAGGAGTTTGCACCGTCGCAAGCATAGATACGCGATTTCGCACTTTCGCCATCGAAGTGTAACATGTTGCCCGAGCCCCATACCTTGATGCACGTTGCCAACTGAAAACCAACTTTAGGGAGCAACAACTAGAACCAAAAAGGTGGAAATAAAATATTCATGCCCAATCAATTAAAGTGATTTAGTCTTCTAATTTTTATTCCAAAGTTGTAGGAAATTATTATGAAGTATATTTTTAAGAAAATATGCCACACTCGAAAACGGAGAATTCATGTTTTTATGTGCAGTTTTTTTTTTTTTTTTTTTTTTAATTTGAGCTTGTCTTGAAACTCATTCCATGGTCATTTCAAAAGAGTTTGATCATGCTGCAAACATCAGAAACCGATTTTCCTCCGCCAGGTTTATATGAGAGAGTAACAAAGTTCACTGAAAATATTAGTTAGTTTGCAAATACCATTACTAGGTGGTTTAAGTTCTGCCAAACTAAATTATCGATTTATCAGATATGACAAATTTTTAAACACAGATTTTGTCATATCTTTCCTGCCAGTAGGCATGGCTATTGATAGAAAATGTTAATTTCTGAGTTGAGAAAATTCAACTGACTGTATTGACAACTCATCAATTATTCTAAGCTCAACAAAGCATGAAAATATCCTTGTTAGAAGAATTTTTAAATTTATGTAGAACACAAAGACTAAGTAGATAAAAATTGGAACACTATGTGCAATAATTTAATGATAGGCTTTTTTTCATGAGTTATTATTGATATTAAATTATAATTTCTCTCTTAATGATATTTTTGGCGTGATCTCTGTTGTATTGTTAAATAGTTGATTTTGACTTTATCCTTTTTTCATATGCATTAGAGCATTTTCATTAAATTTCTTGATACAATATTGGCCTCATTCATTTCTTTACCCTTTTCCTTCTACAAATCAGGGTTGCCGTAGAATTTAGAAAACGAAATTTCCTGACACATTTTGGGAAAATTCTGTGACAACTGAGGATATGCCAGATGGTTCGAAAGACATGATTTGAAATAGTTTTTAAGAAAATACAGGTGACTTAACAAATTTTTCCTTGACACTTCCATCATTTACCCTGACATTTCCAGGTTTTCCCTGAAATTTCTTGGTTTTGCCGGTGCTTACTGACTGAGGCAACTGTAAAAAATTGATAAGATGATCCATAGCATTTTGAATCTTGATATTAGCATGCATGACACCACTGATAAAAAATGAAGAGATAAGGGAAGCAAAATAGGCCGATTTAACAATAAAGTACGAGACAAATACAATAAAAAAGTGGGTATGACACAATTAAAATAGTAAACAAACACAGCCAAGACATTTCAGGCCAATTATCTACTTGCCCATTCCCAAATGGAGCCGCAACTAAAAGTTAAAAAAGTAAAACGAGAGAATTGGCATGCAACTCAACTGACTGAGGTAGGAATCAGCACAAAATCAGTTCCTACTTTCAGAGAACATTAGACACTAATTTAGCCAAAATTAGTTCTAAATGTCAAGACACTGCGACTTTTTGACTGTTTTGCGAAGCAGATAACATCTCACAGTATCAAAACTTGTCATGCTTAAAAATTCTTTCCAATGGCAAACAGTGAATGAGAGAATGAATAAAAAATACTCACGAAAATGATTTGGCTGATTAGCACTTCCTGATCAAAAGTTTGCATTTAAGCACAACTTTACAAATCCAGGGCAAGGAAGTATGAAATTCCTGTGCAGCTGATCAGAGCAAAATCTGCAAACAGAAACAAAGGAAACATTTAAGTTACATTTTTATTAATGAGGAAATTAGAAAAGAATTCTGAATGTGATAATCGCGAAGTCTTTGAAGTATGTTCGTAACCCCCGTACTTAACGGCCTAACTTAACGTAACTCGAGGACAGGGCCAGTGATTGGATTAGTAGTAACAAAGGATTTTTTTTTCTACCGCGTGGTCAAAAGCTGCTGCCTAGGACTAATATTGTTGTTTTTGGTTGCTAGGCAATAGAGCTCTTGCATGTGTCAGAAATTAGCAATTGAAATACTACCTATTTATCAAGTGAGATTTTGTAAGAGACCCTATGGTTTCACTGGCTATCTATGGCATGAACTTATCAGCTCAAAAAAACTCTTATTGTTGAGGCTGTAATGGAGGGAATCCTCCACGCTCGGCTAAAAGTCCACCGTTGTTTTCAGTGACACTCTCCGTGCACAAATAGGGAGCAAGTGCATTTGCAGGGTTGTCACTTTGTTTGGGGAATCCAGGGCTGGAATCACAGCAGCCATACTGTTGTTCTTGTTCCCTATCGGTTCAAAGAGAGTTTGACTAGATATATCGGTGGACTCTTGGCAGAGCATTGGGGGTTCTCCTTGATTACGTCCTCAACTATGAGCGTTTCTCTCGAGCTTGAAAGTTCATCTCAGAGAAAATCAGTGGCCCCCTTGTGTTTCTTGCACAACTGTATTAAAAATAAGTACTAAAATTGTAAATCCCTGCAAGACCTCTGTTGTAAGTGGTATCCTAAGTGAGACTCTCTTGGCTCATTTAAATGTGGAGTGTTGGAGTGAAAATTTATTTTGCTGTTTATCCCTCAAAATTTCGTAAACACTTCTTGAATATTCTTTTTCTTTAAAAAAAAGGGTATGATTTTTAGCAGTGAGATCTACAGATCCCTGTATGTTCCAGCTTAAGTGGCACAGCTTGGTATCATTTTTTGTGGCACAAGAATTTACAAATCTCCTTGCATTCCGGCTAATGTGGCACAGATCAGTATAATTTATTGCAGCGAATAAATCTACGGAAGTCCTTCTCCTGACATTCCAGCTAATTAAGTATAGCTCGGTATCATCTTTAACGCCACAAAAAATCTACAGATATCCTTACGTGCCGGCTAATGTGGCACAGCTCGTTCTACAATGTTGACAGTGGCTGCATTTGTACAAGTTCTCCCTCTAAATTCAGAATGTAAGACAAAATTCAGGTATACTTACAATGTGATGGATGTAGAGGTTTCCAAAAAAACATAAAAGACTATGCTTAATTGGAATGAGAGAAGAAAAAAGAACACACAGATTCACTAATTCATGAAGTGATAACGCATGTAAACAAAACAAACCAACTGATCAGCAAACCGTTGACCGTTGCAAGTCATCAAGCCCCAAGTGATACCAGCGGCCAGCGGCTCACTATTGCCAGATTACAGAATTACTAATCAATCTGTTTGTCTTTAACTCTAACTATTTTGGATCCTTTCATTCTTTTCACACCGATGAATTTAAAAACATAAGGAAAATGGATCTGGACTTGTAAAAGGCTGAACCCTCGGAGTAAGTCACAGCCGCACGGAAAAACCAATTCTTAGCCCAACTGGCAAAGGTGGAATTGTTTATCAACCTGTTGATAGTGGTATTAGTGGTGTCGTGTTCGTGTTCCTATCATAAAATCGTGCTAAAATCTGAAGGAAATTATTTCTTCTGAGCTTTAAAATAGACCGGACGCGTCACTAATAGTTTCCTATTGAGATCCAGGTAATGTTTTCCGTTTTTAATGCGTCGTGAGGACCCGTGTCACTTGTAAACCAACTAAATAAGTGTGCACTGTGTGGAGGTTATGGTATACGAAATCGGTATAGCACACAACATAATCCACAGTTTTTAGTGTGTAAGGATTTGCAGTTTTATCAGTATTATAGACCATCTGAGAAGTGAAGTTTTTCTTTGAACAGCAACTCCATAAAGTATCCTTTGCCAGCAAAATTCATCTTCGAAGAGCCTCCGTTAGGAGCTCCCCTGCTGAAGGTACGGCATCTACTACTTATTATTTTAATCTTTCCTCAGTCACTCTACAAAATTCCTAAGCTGCCCTAAATCCACAACGATGACACTAATGGTGAACCTCCTTCCTCACGCCGTTTGTCAATGTGTGCTCATTGAGATTCTGTTAACTGCTGGACCAATCCACCCATGACAATCACTCGCAAGAACAAGTTTTGAGACCCTACTGCGCAGTGGTGGTCGGAAGTTTAAATGTAGCCCATTTTTTACAAGACAAGCCATTTCTATGTCCAACTAGCTGCAGTTAAGTAAGGCTTAGGAGGTCGAGTGGATCAAAAGAGATCTGCTGTGACTGACCTGAGTGTTTAGGTCCAGAGTTGGGCACGAATAATTCTGCAATTACTGAAATTGGTGCAGCAACACTGACTAAATGCTTGGTCTTCAGAATTCTCTTCCTGACAAGATAGATCAATCTTCAAAATATCAGTCCAATTGGCGCTTGATGGGACGTCTTTGCTTGACAAAATAATTTTTTTCTCAACTCTGGTTAGGTCTTGGTTTGCTAACGGTAACAGTAGGCTGAGACCATGGCTTTTATCTTTAAAATACTAAAGAATTAACAGTTGTCTATTGGTAAAGAATTGCTGTATTTTGTTCCTAACAGTATTACAGCTGCCCACTGTCACCAATATTAGAGCCCGTTTCACTTATAACTTTTCCTCTTTCACTTTATGCGTTGATTAGGGAATTCCCTATTCTGAGCATACTGCCAAGAAGGACAACTTGTCTGGAACTGGATGTGGTTTGCTACCCTGGCCCTTCATGCTGAATAGTCTGCTGCATCATTTTATCAACATTTTATTAGTTAACATTGAGTTCCAAATAAGCTGAGAGTAAATTGATTTCGTAACTGCCTAAAATTCTCAGGCTTTGACGAATAAACTGGAAATATAGCATGCTTTTCGCGATATTGAGATGAAATTCGCGGGATTTCTCACTTTTTAACGAGCGGTAATCAAGCTAGCAACTATTGCAGCTCGGGAGGAGGTGAGTGGTAAGTATAACGCGAAATTGGAGGAAAATCTTAGCTCCTAGTGTATGTATATATATAAAAATCTTATGCGCGTAAGGATATAAAAACCGCGGATTTTCCGCGATATTGAGGTGAAAATAGTGTCATCTTATATGTTTTTCATAAATTCCTGGAATATTTTCTCATGCCACAAAATTCAGGTTAAGAACGTTGAATTCGTTAGGATTTTACTAAACTGCTTAAAAAATCGAGTAGTTGCTGCAATACTGCGGTGATTATCGTCTGCTCTCTCTTCTCTTTTTGCTCTTTATTTTTTTAAAAAAAATCGCTGGGAAATTAGCGCCTTTCTGGCGACAGCCGGATGAAAGTGAGTTCTGAGGATTCGCCGAATCGGGTGAAGATATCGCGTACTACTCATAACATTGACATGAACTTCGCGCAATATCTCACTTATGCACAAGCGGAATTAAAGCGAGCAACTATTTGAACTCCGGAGTAGATATGTGGTATCACGCGAAATTGAAGGAAAATCATAGCTTTTAGCTTATCTCAAATTACTGACGTTCATGAATTTTATGCGCACATCGATGTAAAAAAATCGCGCACCTATTTTCCGCAATGTTTGGGTGAAAATTAAGTAAGTGATCCTCCATGTTCTTCATCATCAGGCGGAAAAATTTTGTACACGCCGCGATTTTAAGTTTAGGAACGCGTAATGTTTAACGATTTCAGAAACCCGTTGAATAAATCGCGTACTTAGTTGCCGCGATATTGCGGTATTTCTCCTCTTTTTTTTACAAAATCGCTGGCAAAATATTGCATTTGCGTCGATACCGAGATGTAAAGCGCGTAATTTCTCTAAAAGTAACGAATCTGTCGTAACCATCGCGTATCTCTGGCGATATTGAGATGAAATTCTCGCAATTTATCACCGTTTAACAAGAAGAAATAAAGCGAGTAACTATTCGAACTCCGGAGTCGGTATGTTGTATCCTGCGAAATTGAAGGGAAATCATAGATCTCAGCGTATCTCAAATTGCTGACGTTTATGAATCTATGATCGTTTATCATCGATATAAAAGTCGCGTATTCTCCGCGATATTTGAGGGAAAATTGCGTGATCCCCTATGTTCTTCACCCGTTCTTGGAAAATTTGCGCACATGCCGCGAAAGACAGCTGGAGAACGCTTGATTCAGAATGATTTTACAAAACCGCTGAAGAAATCTTGTAGTTGCCGTAATGCTGCGTTGATTATCGCGTTATTTCTCCTTATTTTTACAAAATATCTGGGAAAATAGCGTATTTCCGGCGACAACGAGATGAAAAGAGCGTAATTTCTCAGGGATTGACAAATCCTGTGGTTTTATCGCGTACCTCTCGTGATATTGAGATGAAATTCCCGCAATTTCTCACTTTTTGACAAGCGGATATGAAGCGAGCAACTATTCGAACTCCGGAGTAGGTATTTGGTATCACGCGAAATTGAAGGAAAATCTTAGCTTTTAGTGTATCTCAATCTACGGACGTTTATGAATCTATGCGCACTTAGACAGGGCCGGTTGAAGGGGGTGGCCACATGGACCGCGGCCCATGGCGGCAAAATGTAGGGGGCGGTAAATTTTGCAATCTTTTTGAATGTAGGTATAAGAAAAAGAGAGGGTAAAGTCGGATTCAGAAAATAAATTACAAACGAGAAAAGGCGACAAAATCTCTCATTTCTTGAGAGTGAAAGTACAGTAATTTCTAATTTTGTCGTCTTTCGGTGATACAAGAGACCCTTTAATTAGTCGAGTTAAGAGAGAAACCAAACACGCAATTTGACCTGGAACGGAGCGGTGCGGCGGCGGTCGGCATCAAATGCATAGCGCCTACAAGACTGTATGAATACTTCACGCATTGCGCCAAACAGCGTGGTCAGCAGCGGTCGGCGTGAAACGCATAGCGCCTACAAGACTGCATGAATACTTCACGCATTGCGCCAACACAGTGCGGTCGGGCAGCGGCGGAAGTTATAATTATTAACCAAGTTTATGTTTGTTCTTTCATAATTTTTTCGTTCGTTTTTTATAAATGGAAGGCCTTGTCCCAACAGGGATGGATTTACGGAACTGAACTTTTGTTGGTGTTGACAGGGCTTTCACAAAAAATGTGGCCGACACGAGTAAACGCGTCTCATACATCCCTCCCCCACCGGCACGTTCACTTGATGGTTTTTATAGATCGTATTCGACAGATCACACAGGTGAGATTATATTGATATCGATTGGTTCAATATGTAACCACAGCCTCGAAAGTCAATTTAGAAATCTGAGGTAACGGGTCTTATGTGATCGAATTGTTATTCTCTCGAGTACTAAATGGCAATGAAAAGTGATATTGTCAGGAATTTTATCATTTTCAGCTTTTCCAAATTAAATCCTAAAATTTTTGTCTGAGGTTATGTTCTGTTGTTTTGAACCAAACGATACATCAAACCACTGTCGAATACGATCTATTGATGTTTCAAAACGAATTAGAAGGGGGCGGAAAAATACGGGCGGCCCATGGGCGGCAAGTAGGTAAATCCGGCCCTGCACTTGGATATAAAAATCGCGTATTTTCTGCGATATTGAGTTGAATGTTGTTGGAACTTCTATGTCCTTCATCCGTTCCCGGAAAATTTGTGTACATGTCGCGATATCGAGGTGAAAATCGCGTAATTTTTAATGATGTTACCAAACCACTGAAAAAATCTCGTTGTTTCGGCGATATTACGGTGATTATTGCGTTATTACTCCTGTTTTTCTAGTATTACTGGATAAATAGTGCATTTTGCGCGACACCGAGTGAAATATCGCCTACTGAACCGAAAAAGAGTAGATATTTTGATTGGCAAATCGGCTAATCGTCGAAGGCGCCAAGATAGGCCTCTTTCATCATCTTAGATTGTTAGATTTCTAAAATTGCCAGAAAATTTGACTTTGATGTCAAAAATACTCACCTTTAAGATAATCGATCAAACAGGACCCGCATATCGCATAGGTTCAAGAGGGCTCTACCCAGTGATGAACGATACTAGTCAATTTTCAATTGTTGGTTTGACTTCATCTTCTTCCTCTGATATATTAGACTGTTCGTCTAATAGTCACAATCCTATCTTAAAAATACGAAATTTTATTCAATTCTTTTCAATGTAAAATTTCTTATTTGCTATTGACATTCTCGGACCGATCTCCCGAAGTCATCAACTTCTATTCTACTGATCTTTCGCCTTCCTTCTTTATTCGTTTGTATAATTAAGAATTTAGCAGCATTAAAATACTTGTAAAGACAATGCATGTGTGCTTTACTATTTGGTGCGGCATTCTTCTCACAGTCACAGTGTGAGGATGGAGGATGGTCAATTGGTCATACCAATCCATAATACCCAGACTTGCCACTCTCTCAGTCGCATGCATATCTTTTGGTATCGTCTCCATTTGAAGGCGTGTCAGTTCCATATACATTATCAATCCGTTCGAAGCACATCCAATACAGCCACGTACTTTTTTAAGGATGACGAGCACTAATGTCAATCGTTTTAGTTTAATTACCTCCCAAAAGAAAATTTGACCTATTCAAGTGAAAATTCAATAGGCCATGGACGTCCAAATAGGTTTCTCAGGTTATCGTGCTTAGGGGTGCAGAAAATGTGACTAGGTCCCAATTTTGCGGAAAGTAAGTGCAGTTTTTGTTGTTTCGACAAATAAATGAATTCAGTTTAAAAATAACGTGAAGCCTCATGGCGGAAAGAAAGTATGAAATCACTTTTTGATGCTTGAGAATTGGATTTCAGTAGCTCGTTTTTCTCAGAATGTATCATACAGCTACTTTCAGTTGAAATCACTAATATCTCAATGTTTCGTATTTATGCGCCTTGTCCTCCTCCAAGCCCCTCATTTCATAGGTTCCTGGACGAAGGAACGTAACTTCATAGCAAGGTTACAAAATTGACTCAATTGACTCAAACAA